TATCATGATACATGATAAAGACGAAGACCAGAAAACTGTAAACTTGAAACTCAAAACTGTGCATTTTTGGATTGCTGTTAATTGGCAACAAAACTGAACCACAATCAAGATTGTTTTCAAACTGAACAGTATTTGCTACAAAGACATGAGCAGCGTTCAAGAGACAACAATCTCACGAGATATCAACAAGGGACACTGGGAGAGTTGTAGCTCAGTGCCATGACGATACGACGAAAAATATTTGTATTCATGATAACAAAAAGGAAATCTATTGATATTGAATATATGAGTAAATGTAGGAAACTGTGAAAATAAGTAAATATGTATATTCCGTTAAAAACAAAATGAAGAATTTAGCTGTACATAGGGTGGACTGTGTAACATGCTTGCTTTTTAAACAGATGTACATAGCAGATAATGTAGTGGACAGACAGACAGTTCTTTTTTGTAAATCATCTTTAAAGATTTTATTCATCGCAATACTGAAAAAGATGATGCCACTTGAAGGAGGAGACATGTGGAAGGCAGTGTTAAATGTGTTGAATACTTAACTGTATCATATAGGAACATTCAAACTCTAAATGTGAAGGGGTATCAGCTGCCCAAATATTCTGATACCTGTTGCATACAAATTCATTAATATATTCAACAATGAATGTTAAGTAGCTCCACCCCCAATCCTTAAACCACAACCCTCACTGTGCAGACGTAGACCCAGACAGTTGCTCATGAGTAGAGCTTTATAAATCAAGTTTCTGCAGTCAGAATATAACTATTTTTTTCATTCTTTAAACTATTTTTTGTACTGAGAAATGAAAAAAGAAACTGTCTGTCTCCTGGTTTTAAATGTAGACAGTCAAGTACTATCTGGGTAGATCTTTTAGACCATTATGTGTGACATGAATCCAAATGAGGATGCGAAATAAAAAAAAAAAAAAGAAAGAAGCCATTTCTCTCAATATATGTTATATGAAGTATGTAATGACGTCGAACCCGAGCTGATGAAGCCACTGTTTGTCTGTTGAACAATGATTAGAGCCCTTCCTTACTGAAACACTGTGGATCCCCCAGGGAGGCTGGACACACTGTAGCAGAAATGTATTGGCTCCAGTCTCACTGACTGAAGTGTCCTCATCTCTTTTGGACAAATGGAAGGACAATCTGCAATAGGATACAAGACGCCACATCTTCAGCAGCACCAGCCAACGATGTCGTTGGTTCTAAATGTTTTTGTTTATTCCTGGCTCTCATCTGGTTCGTTCTGTTCCACGTGCTGCGGTTGGACGGGGAAGTTTTTAGCAGCGCAGAACCCAGCTGAAATATTTCAGGTCATGCCTTTTTTTCCTGCCATCCATCTTTAGAGCTGAAGTGTAATATGGCGTCTTATTTTGGTTCAATTGTACATCTTTATTTTGATCTTTTTTAAGTAAAAACAAATTTCAAATTGCAATGTACTGTGTCAGTTATTGAGACATTGAGATAAGAGAGTAACATGGTTGGTGTTGACCTGAGAGCAAAATGTGTCATTGATATTAATGGTCTCCAGGGGATGAATGTTACTGTTTTTGGTGGCCCCTTTACCAAGCCTGAAGCCCCAGACCTAGCCCACCAAAAGCTTTTAAGATTTGCTGTGCTGCAATATGTCTGTAACAATTTAATTAATTGTTACTTTGCTTTGAAATATGCACCACAAAAGCACAGTAACGACTGACATAAGGAACAGTTTTTTAAATTGTCACTTTTACACCTAGCTGTTTCACCCTGCTTCCAAGTATTGATGCTAAACCAGCTGCCAGCTGTAGACGTGAGAGTGGTATCAATGTTCTCGTCCAACTCAACAAACAAAAGCAAATATTTTATTTAATTGGCTACTGCTTTATCATCTGATCTTGAGGAGGGTTACTGTGTCAAAATTTACCTTTATTTCTGCTAAAATTGTGCTTACAAATTTGCATTTAATCAAATTACCTTGCATCACACCTGCGGCCAAGTAGTATAAAGCATATAAACATACACATTGCAGAGAGAGTGATGGGAACAGAGGAGTTAATAAGGATCCAGCTGCTTCTTTTCTTTTCTCTTCTCTTGCCCTTGAGCTTATGTCCCGTAACAAATATCAGGCCAAAATTTTCACTTGAGTACATGATCATAATCAAAAGGGCAGAGTGCCATGAAATGTTTATAGCATGCTCATCCTTGTTACATCCTAATTACAGGATAATGGCACACTGAATTTCCTAAAACTCTCTGGAGTCAGACGCATGATTAGGTGACCTGACTGGGAGCAAATGGAACAGGACAAGTCTGTCTCCGGCTGAGGTATGATGAATTTACTTCTTGTTAAATTTCAGTGATTAAACTGTTAAAATATTTGTATGTAACCTGCCAAAACAACAACAATTTGTCAAGAACAAACCCAGTAATGACCGTTACACAATCATTTCTAGTTGGACCAAAATCTGCTTCGATTGCACATTGAAGCAGTTTTTGGTGTGGACACTTGACTATTATTTTAAGACAGAATTTGCGTAAACCTACATGCGATGATTTATACTAAAGCTTTACTACTGCTGCTTTGTGATTTCACATGACACGTGGCTGTAATTTAACACTGTTTTCTATCAGGTTTAACAAGGTTATTACGTGTGATATACAACACTTTTTATAGTGTACTCCCAGTTCATCCTGAGGTAATGCAATTCAAACTGTATATGTATTTCTGTGAAGTCTGATTTTGTTTTGTTAGGTTAAGACAAGACTATTGATCCCTTGGTGACATCTACAAGCTAAAAGCCAGTATATATAGTTAAAAGAATCATCCCCACTTTTACCAACTGCAACATCAGAAATGTACATAGTAATGCATCAATAATTATAATCCAGTGCATTACTCTGAATAACACCTACTGGTGTTACTTTATATACTCAGCAAAAAAAGAAACGTACTCTCACTTACAACTGCTTTTATTTTCAGCAAATTTAACATGTTTATATTTGTATGAACATAAAAAGATTCAACAACTAAGACATAAACTGAACAAAGTTTCACAGAACTGTGAGTAACTGAACAAAGGGTGGTCAAAATCATCTGGTGTGGCTCTGTGGTCCGGTGCAGGTGTTGTCACATGTTGTCTGCCACTGCAAGGATGATCAGCTGTCCTTCCTGTGTAGTGTCCTGAAAACGTGACGTTTCTTTAATGCTAATACTTTTGTATTAGCTCCTATCCCCAGCTACACGTTTCAACTGGGTTTATACAGCAGGCCACACTACAAGGACTTTTACTTGACTGCACACTCTGTGGTATTGCTACTTTTAGTTAAGTAAAATATATGAATACTTCATATATGATACATATATATAAATCAAAAACCAAGAAGTAATTCTTCTGAATACACAGTGTAGAAAAAGATAGCAGAAAGGATAGAATGGGAAAATATTAGTTATAAGAAAGGAATTAAAGTAGTAAGTGAAAAGAAAGAGTCTGACTTAACCTTGACAGATGGTAAAACACTGCAGTGTATCACAAAGTGGTCTTAACCGCGACTATAACAAAGACCTACTTATGTTCCACTTCACTTTCACCTCCATGATTAAGGTGAAACCACAGGGTGCACATACTCTAAAAAGTGTGGAGGCTTGGGCGGCGCGGTGGTACAATGGTTAGTACTGTCGCCTCACAGCAAGAAGGTTGTGGTTTCAAACCCTGGTTGCCCCGGCCTTTCTGTGTGGAGTTTGCATGTTCTCCACGTGGGTTCTCTCCGGGTGCTCCCACTTCCTCCCACCATCCAAAGACATGCAGGCTAGGTTAATTGGTGTCTCTAAAATCGTCCATAGGTGTGTGTGTGTGAGTGGTTGTTTGTCTATGTGTGGCCCTGCGATGGACTGGCAACCTGTCCAGGGTGTACCCTGCCTTTTGCCCAATGTCAGCCAGGATTGGCTCCAGCCCCCTGCGACCCTGTTCGCAGGACAAGCGGTTGAGGAGGAGTCTAAGGAGGTAAAGTTAGAAGTTAATAAAGCTCCCTTTTGTATGCTCTAGTCGTTTTGTTTTATTCTGCATTCTCTTTTTTTCTGGGAGTCTCATGAATTTTGGCATATTTTACTGTTCTGTTTTGGCCTTTTGTCTCATTTCAGATATGTCCGAGTTGTTAGTAGTTCCCCAAAACACATTTCCTCTCTAAACTTCTCAGATGGTTTTCCTTAAATAACTGAGGCTCAAAGAGGTAAAATGATTCAATGTCACAAAAAAGCAAAAATAGAGAAAAGTCCTAAAAATAATCAGATGTGTTTCAGAACTGTTTTTTCTTCCCCCATCTTGTGGCCTAGGTTGGGAAGCACTGGACTAAACTAACTGTATAGAAAACAGTTCAAACTAACACCTCAAGCAGCTACAGCTGTAGCATGTTGCTCACACGCTGCTGCAGATTGAATCCTATATTACTGACAGGAGACATGTTACTGCAGGATGAGTACTTTATTTTTGATACTTGAACTACATTTTGCTAATTATACTTTTACTAAAGTACGATTTAAAAGAGTTACATTGTTCTGGTACTTTTACTTAGGTAAATGATCTGAATACTTCTTCCACAACAGTAAAATACTGCTCAGACATAAATGCATCAGTATTGTCATTTATTATATAGGCCTAAGTCACAGGGGCCAGTTTTCCTAGTACTACTTCTAATATATAGTATATATTATATAGTCTTACTTTTGAATGTAGCACTTTTACTTGTACTGGAGTATTTTTATATTGTAGTATTGGTACTTTCACTTAAGGATCAGAGTACTTCTTCCACCCACTGTGAATAAAAGCCTCAAAATGTACAGCAAAAAACAATTTATTTTTAAAAATATCACAGGATAAATGCAGAATCACTGCATTCAGTCTCTGCTACTCTGTACCCTACGCTCAGCCAGCACTGCCCCCTAGTGATTAAAGATGAAAACATGTCAAACCCACCCCACAACACAATACAAGGAAAAGACAACATTGGTGTTAATTTAACATTTTTCACTTTGAAGTTTAATGTTAATTCCATGCTGTGTTTCAGTAAGAATACAGATGGTACTTGTGGCTCCGGTGAGAACATCCAGTAGTACAAATCAGATTCACGTTACACATAATGAACAGAAGGAAGAGAGGAAATGAGGGGAAAGAGACAGAGTTGAGATGAGGAAACCTGAAAGTCAAGGGAGTAAAGATACAGCAGGCCTCCATTTCCCAAACCTTTTTTATATATATATATAGTGCCAATGCAAAACTGCATTACATTACAATCATGTGTTGATTATTCCCCTCCCACGCGCGCACACACACACGCACAGTTTGTCTGCTAAATAGCCATTACCTAACTAATTATCTGCCATTAGCAAAAGCGCTACAGCCTCGCAGCACAATACTTTGTCTGAGAGTGGACAAGGATAGAGGTCAGTGATGCTCAAAGATTGGGGACATTCTGCTGTTTGTTTTAAGAAAAATAAACAAAAGACCTATTGATGTGTTGAAGGAGCAGGTTTGGTAACCACAAAGTAAAGAGGGCACTTGGTTCTTCCTAAAAGCTTTAACACATCCCTTTTAAACCTTCAATCACTGCTATATTTCCTCGATTTGCAAACTGAAATGTTTCAAAACTGACTGACTTACAGAAGCATGGACAATATATTGTTCATAAAGACATACACAGGAAAAAGTTGAACAGCAAATTATTGTCTTTAAATAAACTCTTGCATGTGTGTGTTACAAATACAGGCAAGCGTACTTGGCAACAGATGAAACAGCAAAGTAAAGCAAAATAAAAACAGTAAAATAGGACATGAACCTTAAAGGGTACAGGCTTGCAAATTCAGTCATCAAAAATAAGACAACGCCCCTGGGGAGTGGAGATGAAGACCCCAGCGGGCCCTGAGGGGGATTGGGAGATGACGTGCATACGAGGAGAAAGGTTGAGACAGGTGGGTAGAAAAAGAGGAAAAGGTAGAGAAATAGTGTGGGCTGCAGTATAAACCCAGCTGAAAACTGTGGCTGGGGACAGGAGCTAGTGCTGGGAGGACAGAATGGAGGAAGAGGAGGAGGAGGGGGGCTTGTCTTGTGGTGTTCAGTCTCGCGGGGTCTCTTCCTCCGCATCTTGCAGTGCTTCTTTGTTCTGTTCTTCACCTGAGATAACGACAGAAACGTGAAACAATCATGAATTGCCATTATCTCTGCACACTCTTTAAGACACTTACAAAAGACAGCTAACTGAGGCTGTTGTGATGAATCAGACCACTCAGGAGAACCTCAGCCCTGCTGGCTGTCAGCTTCATTGAGGCTTGCCAGGAGAGAGTCTGGTTCTCACATGAGCATAAATGCATTTCCTTTGCTGTTATAAAACAGGGTGAGTTATTGAGGGATAAGGTAAATGGACTGTACTTGTATAGCGCCTTTCTAGTCTTCTGACCACTCAAAGCACTTTACAAAACATTTCACATTCACCCTATTCACACCCTGATGGCCTTGGCAGCCTTCAGGAGCAATTTGGGCTTCAGTATCTTGCCCAAATACACTTTGACATGCAGACTGGAGGAGCCGGGGATGGAATCTTTGACCTTCCCAAATTTCGGGCGACCCTCTCTACCTCCTCAGCCACAGCTTAGTGGGCAAGACAATTATTATTATAAACATTTACTCCCTAAATCAATTTCTGAATTAAAGGGAGAAGACTCTAAACACGGCTTTACAACAGATTCCGACAGAGTGGCCAGGGCGATCCACAGATTAATTCAAATAAAGCAAGATGCACTCCATTTATTTAATTTTGCACTTCCATGAAGTTGGGAGACTTGCCAGAGGCACATTAAAAAGAATGGAAAGAAATTTGTAGCAGGACAGACCAAGATATCCTAACCTTTAGTCCCTGACATTGGTCAACCTCCAAAAAACACTACATTTCGCATGATGCAATATAATAGTATCTTATCTCAGTTTGGATGGTTATAAACATCCATTAGATCTTCACAGAGCTAATTTCTGGTTTGACTTCACATTGATATTCCCCCGATGTTTTTAAATTAGATTTTGAAAAGGGGCAATATAAACAGAAATGTCTGCAGCATGCTAGACTTCGTCTGAGAACTCATTTTTATGTGCTGTCCTTTAGCATGCCACGATAAAAACATATACACGCTGACACACACCACTAAAACAACATAAGAAAAAACACATTGCATTAGGGATGCACCGAAATGAAAATTCTTGGCCGAAACCAATATGGGTTTTTGGGGGCCGATGCCGATATTAAAGTGAAAACGAGCCGATTAATGAGCAGATATTTAGATTTAGAGAATGATTTGGATAGTTACTACACTACACTTAGAACAGGCAGATACTTGAAAACTGGTTTGTATGTGGGCTATAAAACCTTTTCCTAAATCGATTACAGTCTCAAAAAGTGAACATATAAACAATTGCACATTAATAAATATTTGTTGCTGGAACATGCAACTTTTTCAGCAGTCTGTAAACAGAAAGAGAGAGAGAGAATAAGCATGTGTATTTCACTTTACACATAATCTGCCATAATTTCAATGTCGCATATTCACATCCAGTTCATCCCTTTACCTGTACTCTAAGCTGCGAGAAACCATTTCTCATCATCTGTCTGTGTGTAAATCATGCCGTCTAGGATACACTGAGCTGCTGTTGAATGCATCTAATACAACATGACTCTCTACAAGGACAACCTGTAACTTTGAGATTTCATTTAATTAACGTTATAACTACAATGGCTCTGACAGCATTTCACATCTACAACGTCACACAAAGAGGAGCTACAGGAAGCAGTGTTATTTTCTTGTTCAGCTCACGTTTATTTACATGTCCGCTCTGGTTAAATCATTCCAGACATGCCGACAAACTGCAGACAGTCAGCTTGCAGATATCTTTAGAATACACCAGAAACTATAGTTATTACGACGTTAGCGCTCCTCCTAATTTAGCAACGGGCAGCGGCAGCGTGAGCTGCTGTAACATTACGTGATTTTAGAGAATATTTAGAAGTGATGAACTAAGCACAAATGTGAACAGTTCACTAGAACAGCCACACTGTTTCAGAATAAATCTACAGTTACGTCTGTTAAGAGCTTAGCTTCCAACACCCAGCTACCATAACATTAACCTGCTGTTAGGAAGTCGGGAGAGGGCAGAGCAAAACGGGAGAGTTAGCAAGTCATGAATGTTTTCATGAGAGGAGAAGTGACTGGGTCTGTTTTTATTATAATTATTTAAGTCATGTAATTAACTTGACAAAAGACCGATTCACCGCTCACACAGCCCTCTGTGTGTTTCTAAATGCTGCGTGTAAGCTCCAGTAAACTTTGGTCAGCTGATCTGGTCTTCTGTGGTTTTTGTGGTGAGGTAGTGTTGTTAACAGGAGAGCTGCAGCTGGTCGCCCTCCGGTGGGCAAACTATGCAACACCCATAACATGAGTGAAGGATCTGACTTTGTTTCTTTTTTAATTGTCATATCTGCCGATATAAACGGCCGATGCCAATTAAATGCAATTAGCTCATATCGGCCGATAACATTGTCCGGCCGATAAATCGGTCGGGCTCTAGTACATGACCTGACTTCAAACTTGGACGCTGTAAGTGTAACCTGTTTTACGGTTTATTTTAAAGGTTAGCTAACTGGATGTTAGCATATTGTGCGGCTAATGTGCCTAGCAGCCTCGGCGAGTAATCCTGAGGGACTGTTGAGAGAAACTGAACGGTAAGCCTCATTTGAAGATCATTAACTAACGAGAAGAGTTTGTCGGATGCCTGCAGCGTTTTTTCATGTTGCCTTCTGTGGAAATTTAGTTAAAACGTTACTACGGCGGAGTGGTTAGTTGTGGAGAGCCCATTATGCTCCACACCGGTGTGTGAGTGTGTGATATAAAACCACACGCCCCGTGCACACTCTGATCAGTGAGTAGGACCCATCCAGTCTATGGTAGGACCGCAGAAGGAGGCGCATGGCGCTTGTGATTGGCGACAAAGTCTGTCACACAAGGATGACAACGGAATTCATTTGTAACTGCATGACTGGTTAAAAAGGGTCAGATGCATTTTAACCGCAGTCTTCACAATTTCAATTTGAAAAAGCGTTCCGCCCTAATTTCAGCTGTGACAAAACAAAGATTGAAATTTTCTATTTTTATTGAAAGTTTTTTATTTCACTCAACCAAAACTTGTAAACTTCAATCATAAGTACACCTCAGTGTGTCAACATGCAGTTCAATGAACAAGAGGTTAATTCACGGCGTCTTCAAAACAAGCCATGGTCAGATCAGATTTACTAAGAGGGTAAAATGCCTTGTGAACCTGTACAAATGGTTGCTTGGGAATGTTACCATAGAGACAGCACAGCCATCCGTGTAATGAAGAATTAAGAGGCACGAATAACAAAGGCTTGAGAATCCATCATGATTAAAATAGAAACTGTAACAGTGCTCATTAGCACCACGGCTAACTGGGATGTGAGAAAGCCACAGGAGATGGAGCAGCAGCCTCACATGCTGTTCCTGCAGTTCGTCTGTTATATCACACTAAGCTGCGTTTCCAAACTCTGCTGTAACGCCTCACTGGGCTGTGTTCAGTGGTACTAACGTGCATGGCAAAACAGGATGGGTGTCCGCAAGTTCTTTCAGTTGATATCCAAGCCTGAAATCACTCTTCGACTATAATCTTTTTCAATCAGGAGGGAAAAGTTAACTCATGTTTCTGCTCACATTCCCCAATTCAAGGTGGAGCGTGGACTCACAGATGCCTCTTTTTCTTCTTTTATACAGAGCAGAAGTGAAACCTTAACTTCCGGGTGCAGATACAGGGAGTTAGAAAACCTCATTTAACATGATAAACACAAAAAAAAAAACACAATACCAAGATTACTAGATATTGCAATGTGAATTTTACCCCCCACAATCAGAGTGAACTGAGCATTTCTCAATTTCCAACAACTCCAGAGTGAGAAGTCTTCTCTCTATGGCTTTTTGTTTTAGCTGCACCTGTTATTTCAATGTGTCAGACAATACTATACAATCCTTTTCCAAAGAAAGGGAATTTGAGAAAGGGATACTGGCCAGTATCGTCAGGGGGAATGATTACAGAATGCAGAACCTGTGTTCATATGAGCACCTGACTACTGTTTAAATAAATTATGAATAAATTTTAACTCTGTTAAAATCATTAGGGTTCAAATGCCAATTGCAAGCTCTGTGTAGACTCAATTATATTAGAGTATGGAATATGTTTCAAGCTTTCAAAAAAGACAGATATAAGAAAGCCTCTGTGAGATTTTACTTTGAGTCACACAAGCTAATGGAGCAGCAGCTAGCCCGGAAGCGAAATCAGGACTTCTGCTCTCTACTGGACAGCATTTTATAACCTGTTGTCCTGGTGACATGTAAACACAACCTGACATGATATAGACTTTTACTGCCTTGCGGACACCCTGAAGACACTAACACACACAGCACTCGAGTTCCACTCGTGCAGAGAAAGGTGGAGAACAGGTGGAGTAGAAAAGAACAGCTTTTAAATCATTGCAGCTCTGTTATTGTGTGAGAGCAGAGCAGGGCGGGAGAGGAGATCATCTCCCCTCGACCACAAAACACTCAACAAGACTGGACTTTGTACTGTGAGGAGGTTAGTGAGGGATGTCGGGGATGGTGAGACAGGAGTGATAGCATGAGGTGACAAAGCCAAAGACAGGAGGAATGACTTACAAAATACACTTCTATAATGGAGGAAGAGTGAAGGAAGGAGGCTGTCCTTAAGAATCTACAGAAGAATGAAGGAGAGATGAGAAGTTAGAGCAGTGTGAGAGTACTGAGCCTGAGAGAGAGATGACAAAGGAGGCTTCGGACTTTAGGGAAACTTCTGTGCTGAGGGGAAAGGTTAGAGAAAAAGTTAGGTAGCTCCTCCCAGTTTTTTGGGGGGAGGAATCAGTCTAAGCACTCCTAAGAAACCTTTTTGGAAAACTTGAGGACAATTTATTCCTCATATTTTTTTCAAAGATACTTCTGACAAGTATGCCAGAAGCTGCAACCAAAGGCAATCAGAGGCTTGAAGGAACAAATCAGCTTTAAAAATAGACATAAGTCTGTCAAATCTGTCAAACAGCAAGTAATGCTGTTGAAAGTAGGGAACCAATCATGAGCCAGTGTCACCCAGACATGAACAAGTTCATAATACTAGTAGCTGATGTCTATTCAAGCAACTATCGCTTATGTCCTGAGAAGAAATGAATGGCTCTCTCACCATCACCCTGCACGTCTGAGGTCCATAGTGTCAAGTTGTCACGTAGCAACTGCATGATAAGTGTTGAGTCCTTATAGCTTTCCTCGCTCAGCGTATCCAGTTCTGCAATGGCATTATCAAATGCTTCCTTCGCCAACCTGTCAGCAGAGAGGATGCAAGACAACACAGTTACACACACACACACACACACACACATACAGTAAACAGGTGATATCATTTTAGAGTAGGCAGCAAAACACACAGCTAAGTATCTGTACTATCTGTACTACAGTGTTTTTGTAAACAACTCCACTCCAGAGGCAGTGGGTGTGAGAGGCAGGGATGGAAATTAAAAACCTGTTCCCTTTCAGGACCGTTTTCAAGTTGCCAGGTTCCTGAGAATCATTTAGCTCAACAGTGTCTGACAGCTGGAACACAGTTTCTTTTCATGTGGGATTTGAGCCACAGCTGAAAGGAAAAGTTGCTCAAACATGTGGATATAACTTACCAAATTGGACAAAAATGGCAAACTGCAACAGTTGCTAAGGACTTTTTCTGATACACTGAAAGGCGCATTCGTGGTTTTTTGGCCACTAGTGGGCAGAAAATCATTCACACAAGACGTCCGTCTACCTGATAAATCCAATGTTCTTCCTCCTTTTAGCTCTAAGTGTGGTCCCTACCAGCTCCTGAGAAACTGTCTTGTCTTGGTTGTTTGACTATATTCACCTGCTCACTAGGAGCAACCTCTTGTACATTACACACAGTGGTGTCATTCTGATATTATACATGACAAGACACAAATAAAACTGGGATGAAAAATACATTTCTTATTGTTCTCAAGTTTGAATGTTTTTTTACTCACATATGTAGTGAGTGAAAAAAATTAGTTGTTTTTTTTTTATTCCCCCACATTTTATATACTTTTTATGTCCTTTCCAAAAATACTGAAAACAGTCTTAATAGTTGGCAAATCTCTGTTAAAGAGACATCATGGAATTACCACACGTACCTGCAAGCACGGTCTGGCGAGTTGAGGATTTCATAATAGAAAACTGAAAAGTTCAGGGCCAATCCCAGACGAATAGGGTGCGTTGGAGGGAGTTCCATCATGGCGATGTCGCTAGCAGCTTTGTAAGCAACCAAACTGTTCTCGGCTGCCTCCTTCCTGTCATTGCCTGTGGCAAACTCTGCCAGGTACCTGTGGTAATCTCCCTTCCTGAGCAGAGGGAACAACACAGTCAGACAAATATCTGCTTTCACACATGTGCATTCCAAAATTATTATTACAACAGTCGAGTCCAAAGCGCTGATTGGTAAAATTACATTTGACAAATGCATTAACAAAACAGCGGTGTTGAATTACACGTCCTGTACAGTTTGGGATAAGAACATGAACGGCAGCACCCTAACAATAAACACACCTGTGATCCTGAATGAGCCAGTAATACATTGTTTAACACTATCAATAAAGTGCTGTTGGTTTTCCAACAATTACTAATGCATGATTTTTTTAACTGATACATGTGTTCAAACATTTTACAAATACAGATATATACCAAATGTATTTGAATCTTTTTCTGATATTATTTTAGCAATGCTCAAAGTTTAAACTAAAATACTGACCCAGTTACTATGGTCTTTTAGTAACGTACACCAGATACTGACTACATTTATTTTGGTCTTTGCATCATTGTTTCTCATGCTGGGGTTTTAACTTTAAAATTTAAAAAAAGTGATACTTTTAAGTAAGCTGTTTAATACAGTTTTTTCAACTGAACCAAGAGCAGTGCCGTATATTAAGCTAACATCTTTAACAAAGGTCAGCATCTAAAGCCTAGATAGTACTGATAGTACTTCGTAGAAGTGCAGTCAAAAAAGTACTGCAGTCTTAAGCGGCAAGTATAGCAGTTTCTAGACAACAAGTCTGAACAATTAACATGGCAGCATTTCTCAATCGCAGACTGAAAGAAAGATCGTCTTGAAGTTTGAACATTATGTGATGAAAGAGCTTCTGTTGGAGTAAAATATTCTCATGTGATGATGTTTCATCTATTCGAAAGTTGGGTACTTGAGCTGAATGTATGTCTTTATCGCCTTCATGTTAAACGTAATTTCATGTTAAGTAACGTTACACCGTGTGTCAACTAACATTCGGGCGTTTCATATTTCCTGTTAATTTAACGGCCACGCATGAGCGAGAAAATAGCTGAAACTAAAAGTACAGACAACAGTACAGTCTGTGAATCCTTTCAGTTGTTTTCTTTGCCCCACACTGATGCAAAAATACATTTGATTATTATGCTACATTACTTAATATTGAAATATATCCATGTCAGAAACATTAAAAGTCTTCAGTAAAGTAGCCTAATTACTGTCTGTTATTGTTATTATGACAACACATCAGTGACGTGGAAATTTGATTCATTTTAAGATGCTACTATTGTCATTCTGATGAGTTTCATCAGGATGATTGAATAAAATATTGATTTATTGATAAGATGTGTTTTTGATATTTATTTTGGATAAATTGGTATGTTAATTTTTTTTCTTTAGAATACACAAAATTAGATTAATCCACCAATTCGGAAAAAAATAATCGTTAGATTAATCGACTTGAAAAATAATCATTATGTACAGCCCTAGAAAACAGAGAAGATCGCCCAAGCCTACCGTCAGGTTACTCTGCAAACAAGAATATTTAATTACTTGGTTGGTGATCAATTCAGGATCCACTGCACTGAAAATCCAACAGGAAGCAGGTCAGATGGATACTTATAATAATCAATTGCCAGGAAATTTGTGAATTGGAAAGAGGTGAAATAAGGTGTACACTCTCAGCTTTAAAGCATGTGAACATCCCTAGAGGAACAGAGGCGTGTGACAATCTGAATTCTGATTAAACCCAATACCCATTCTACTGCATATTCTGGCAAATATTCTAGGAAATCATGTTCATGCCAGCCTAACGTCAACGTGAGAACCAATGGACTTTGTTGTGTGTTTTAACCCATGGTAATGTAAATGCTGGAAACAAATCATTCCATTACTCCTTTGACTGACACCTTGTAATATCTAACTGTAAATGTTTCTGAACTTAAAATGCTAATTGTTAGAATGTAAACAGAAATTGATCAGATACATACATTTTGTAATAGAAAACCTTAGATTCTCCCGTGACTGCAGCTAAGATGAGGTGCTTGTCCAGTACATCCAGAATGTCGTTGCAGATTGATTTCAGCTCTTTCTCAACCTGCAGACCAAAACACATACACACGCGCACTATTGTCAGAAGTGCTGGATCAAATTTCCCTTTGAATGTTAAAAAGGAAAGTTCTGTAGCAATTCAAAGCTGAATGCCACTCAACTCAGCTGAGATCCAAAGTCAAATAAATTCAGATTTGATGTTTTAAAATGGTAAATGAATTAATCTATGTGGTGTGACTGGCAGTAACTAATTAAAAAAAAAAAAATCTATATTTCCTCAATTTTAGCAGTAAATAATTCCCTTCATAATTCTGTCTACCGCCACACCAACAATAGTTAAAAGTAGGCAGAGATACACGAGGCAGCTTTTGTCCCCATGGAAGCATTTGTCAAAGAAAAGCAGACTGGGTACTGTGTGACTCGGTTCAAAAGGTCAGTGTCAGCCGTGAAATTCTGATATTTTTAACATCATCACTAGATGGAAAGATGTCCTTGTAAATAAAACTGCTCTTTCATTGGATAGAATTTTAGTAGTAGTAGTGTTAGTTGGGTAAACCCAACTTTTGTCACCTTTAAATAAGCCACTTATAAAAGTACACTTTTACACACAATATTTTTTATACAGCTCATCCTGCCAGGCAATATTTGACTGGGATTTCGCTAGTCAAAACAAACTCCATGTATTCATGTTGCCAGAAATGAAGAAATGCCACATATAAAAACAAAGTCATGACAAAGACATAGCCAACAAATGCTAACAGCCACTAGACCTCGTGATTTTCCCCAGTTTGTCAAGGGTAGAGTTCAGAGTTTACAGATGTCATTCTCAGCAATGTTGTCGATGTGTACTGTAAGTAAAGTGACAAAAACACAACTTTTACACATTGGAGTGTGGGTGAAATCCATTATCCTAAATAAAGTCATATAAAATCTTTTCCCACCTCACTAAATGACTGGAGTGTTGCTGTGCTGCATTGCACTCAGTGGTGCTGCCAGTGACTGGGAGTTGCTCTGCAGCAGAAATGAAGAACAAGCGATTTAAAGTTGATTCATGGTTGCTGCCTACCTCATTATTTCACTCAGACAAGTTTTGTTGGGCTGTGAAATCTCGCCATGAGGTCAGTGGAGGAGGGCTTAAAAAGTCCTGCTAAAAAGGGTAAAGCATCCCTGGCATCTTGCCTACTAGATATGGAACATTTGATTATCTGAATGAGCACTGCCTACACTTACCTCCATGAAATAACAAGGAAGGTAGCAACTTAAAATCAGCTCTGCTTCAATCCACTGGGTTGGTATGTTCATTATTGTGTCTAATTCAGGACCAGAGATATTTGCTCCATGATCTACAATAGAATCCATCACTGCAACAGGGCAAACAGTGACTACTTTTCATTCCAACCAAAGCTAGATTCACAGAAGTCTTCCTCACAGAGGAGTTGCAGCTGTGTGATAGGACTTTGCCTGGCAAGTGCAGAATGGACAGGGGCTACTGCCGTCCACATCTTTCAGGTTCTCAACAACTTTCCACAAAAGGAAGTAGGGATTGTATTAAGTGAAAGAAACATGTCAAAATGTTGCATAAATATCAGAATTGTCATGATCACCCCTTGTAGCTGAGAAACCTATACTCTAAAGATCCCATCTCACACTGCTGGTAGATTTGGGTATATAACAGTGTCTGACCGTTTTCCTGTATTCTCGGATCATCTTTAGTTTGTCTTCTCCGCCTTTGTTTTCTTCTTTCTGTTCGAGGCTGCTGATTATCCTCCAGGAAGCTCTTCTGGCTCCTATCACGTTCTTATACGCTACTGACAGCAGGTTCCTCTCCTCTACCGTCAGCTCCACGTCCATACTGGCCACTTTCTTCATCGACTCCACCATTTCTGGGAGACACAGGGGGAAAAAATGACACAAGGCACAGGCTTCTCAAGTTCCCTTTTTTGGAAGTTTATTTATGCAAGTCGGTTCAAAATATATGTCCATATATATAAAATCAAACCTTTTTTTTACATCTTAAATGCCCCGTGCTATAAATTTATCAATATACATGGTGAAATGTGCTAAACATAAGGAGAGCATTCCTATGGCGGCCCAGGTGTAGTGTAAAATGACGCTTCGACCTATTATTAGGCCCTGTAGTGGGTATCAGGCTGCTGTCAAATCTACTGAGCCTTCTGACAGGTGACCCCATTCTTTACCCCTGACCTAATGTACCTTTAAACTACCTTTGAATCCTACCCTCGGCCAAGCAAAGAGCAGACACTCGACATGATCAGGCAACATGTCTACGTTATCGGTTTAGGTTAAAATACACTGACTGATCCCACTTGAAAGGTAATTTCAGTCATGACCTTTTCAGCAGTCCAGCTATTGGCTAACCATCACTATCTAGTTCCACGAGTATCTCAAATAGCCTCTAATTAGTGGCTAATTGACTGTTAAATATTCCAATAAATAACCAAATATAAAAAAAAGGTACCCCGTGGGGTTCTTGACCTTGTTTTTATTAAGTGGGTCCCAATTTGTTTATCTCGTGCACAGGTGACACACTACACACTCTTGCCAATGGTTTCACATTATTCCACTGATCTACAGGTAGCGGTGATGTGCCAACATATGCAGCAATGCGTCAAGAAAGACTACGACGAAGACTGCAAGCTAGTAAAAATGGATGTAAATGTTGGATTTAAAAAGCTTAAAACATCTGCTTCGCAATGAGGAAGGAAATACACTCTAGGGTTGGGCCAATAGACGATGCCCTCGTCCATCGGCGATGGCTGATAAGACATCACGACGTTGAGCCGGCATCGTTATTGTAAAACCCCTGCCCCCCCAGCAAAAACAAAAAAAAACAAAACCCCTCACATTTTACCACCCCATGAAAGCAGCTTTTAATGACCACAAAACATTCTTATTATTGTTTTTAAGTATGCTTTGCACCTGCCTCGGAATTCTCTTCTCCCCACACTCACACACCCCTACCATTTCTTTTTTACCGAGTGAAGTTTGTGCGAGAACACATGCACATAAGATGATCGTCCATCCCGATGTCTTATTGCAGACATCGTCTGATGGAAGTTTTGTAGACAAAACACATTTGTTAGACCTCAAGGACACGTAAGTTAAGTCCCTCCCCTTCAGGTGGACAACCATGGGACCTTATTTCGGAAAAATATTGTACGGTAGTCAATGGCAAGGGACAACAATATACAATATTTTGATACCGTTTGAATTGTGCCCTGAATTACACGTTTGTCAGTTTACAAGATACATTTTAAAGTCAAGGAAGTTGCATTTTGTTGTAATACTGTTGAGGTATAACACTGTGAAAATACATAATTACAAAGACCACAAACCCAAAAGTTGCATATGTGATGTCTTAACTGTTTCTGTCAATGACTGAAGCTAGTGTCAAAAAACTTACAGGAGAGGATGATGTGATAAAAAGGACCAGGAGTCGTTGGATTAAACGCAACAGGTGAGATTTATTTCTGCTTGGAACATAGCTAAGTTATCTCGCTAGTTGCAAGAAAGCAATGAACGCTAGCTAGCATTACCGCGCTAACATGTTGCTGACATATGTTGTGCGAGATGTAGTTCATTGAACGGGTTTCACACAAAACGACGTATAACTTTACTGTTTTACGTCAAACTGCCACTTTCTTTACTCATTACCATTGACGGCAACATTGCCCAGCACCATTGCTCTAAAAGTTGCTCCGTGTATCATCCGCTTTAGACTCTTTATTAGCAAGTCATGCCACTCGGCAGCCATCTTGGCAACGTCTCCAGGCAGCTGTTTCGGACTAACAAGACCAGGCTGCTATCTGAACGAATGGGTAGACAGCCAGTACTGCACTTTCACTGGTCCCCGGGATATAAAAACTACATGAATAGAATCGGCAGTAAAATCTGGTAAAAATCACTGAAAAAGTTTGACGACTTTGCCCCAAAATAAGGTTTAAAAAGCATTTTTCCTGACCGGTTATAATTCTATTATGCATGCATCACTACTACCATTAATGCATAGTACCAGAATAACAGACCACGTCAGTGGAACCACACAGCTGAAATATGTTTCCCGCTTTGGCCGTTAAAAGCAGACGATTGGCTTTCTAGTGGAAGGGGCAGGATAACAGCCATCTCTTTCCCCATACTGTTCTATTGTTTTGCCGTGTCTCCGGGCCATTGCTTATGTTGAACCCTGGGGGGTGGTGCAGTTGCCATAATAATAATCAAGTAATAAACTACAGAGAGTATCATTACAGTTGCTTTCTCTCAATCTCTGGCTGAACTATTTAAAAGTGATGGGACACGCGCAGTGATGATGCAGTGAATAGTGACAATTCTCTCCGACCAATCGGGTACCAGATTTGCCCAATGGAAAACCAAAAAAGGCGAGTAGAGTTGAGGCAAGTTGAGCTGGTGCCATCCGTTGCAGGTGCAGTTTGTAACAGTGACACATATTTGTTGTTTTGGCTTCACTGCAGCTTATTAGATTTAAAATAAAACAATGATTACGATGTTTAAGGCCCATTGGAGCAACTTTCTACAGAAGAAATAGTCCCTGGTAAAACTGCTCACAGCGAATTCTGTGGATTATCCAGAGTTACAGGGACAGTGTTTCTGGAAAGAAATGCTGATGTTGAATTTTTAAGTAATTATTCAATGTTTCACCACATCTATTGTATCGGGGTGGAGGCAGATGTCTCAGATACAGAAATCTCAAACCCAGCCAATAAAACCAAAACCATCTGCAAAGCTCAAAACCACTAGAGGTTAATGTGAAAATATGTTTTTGTAATTTGGGTGAATACTTCCTTATAATTATTAACATTTTGGGGGAAAGCGGTGCATATATTGATTTTTGTATTTGACAAAGAGCCCATGTTCCTTCCATTAACAGAGACTTTAAACCACACAGCAGAGACTTGAAAGGTTTCTGTCATCCTCAGTACTTTATTAATGGAGAGCCTGGGACACCGGCCAAGTATAAACTCTTCTAATGCAGAGATTCACCACCTACGGACACCTATTGAAGGATGCTAGGAACTGAGCCAGGACAATGAACCAGAGGACTGAGCTAGATCAAATGCAATGTCTTTTCACATCTTCAAGGTGACTCAGTTGGTGTGAAAGAGAATACAGTATCCAGGGATGAAACAGCAATGAAAACAATTTGACAATTTGCTTTGAAGGAGCTACTAATCCCTGGGGATCAACATAAAAAAAGACACAATGTGGGGGCTCTTCAAAAACCTAAATACTAGGGATGCAATGAAATGAAAATTCTTGGCCAAAGTCGAAAACCAAATATAATGAAAAAATTTGCTGAATGCCGAACATGAACAAGTACATTCACATTTTTGCCTCTTTTTTTTTTTTTTACCATTGCATAAATTAAATAGTCAAAATGTGCTTTTTACTCAGTGTTTCCCACAGGATTTGGAGAGACTATGGGGGGTGGGTCCGAGGCCCGAGAGGGTCTGGTAAAGTAAATTACATGTGTCTATTTACTTTTAATGTACACATGTAATATGTTTTATACTATGTGTGAATATAATCCAATTCATCTTATTTCCATACTGTAAAAACAATGTATTTTGAAACCCGGACGTTGTCACATGTGTATCCTCGCGATTTTTGCGTCTTCCTCTGACACTTTAAAATGCTTCCACACGGCCGACATGTCAACGTAATTGTTCGGTAAAATTTAAATCGGTCTTTTGACTTATTAGCCCGAATACTGAAAGTGCATTTCGGTGGCCGAACATTCTGTGCATCCCTACTAAATACTCTAAACTGGTCCTGCAATTGTCAGTAACATATTTCATGCAATTTCTGGAAAACCTGAGAATATATGACTACAGGAACAATATATTACAGTATTATGCTGAATAGGAAGGGTAATTCTGAGGGATTTTATCAAGTTTTGACATAAGTAGTATGTGGGATACTAATTAAAAACACATTAATTATTTTCAATAGTGGTTAAAACTGTGGCTCAAGCTGCAGACAAGTCACACCTCTCATGCAACACATGCTAGCCTGGAAATAAGAGTAATGTGTCTCTGCCTTTGGCTTTTAAACTTTACAGACAGGGCGCTATCAGAAGCCAATAGCAGGGATCTGTGCAGCATGCTAGCGAAACCTGATACATGATGGTTAGAAGCCAAGAGGAGCACTATGCTGTTTTGATCCCTTTACCCTCCAGCCTGCACTCAAACTCAATAACCTCTCTATGCTTTTTAAACATTTTCTCAGTATTAAAAGCTCTGCAGATCTCTTAACTGATCACAATCACTGATCAGCCACTAGCTGCAACAAAATGGGCTTCAATAGAGCTGCAAAGTGGGAGGAGCCCATTTCCCCATTCTGTGTCCACATTTTATTTTTTCCCCCCAGTGTTACTGAACATACATAGATATGTTATGACCCTAACATTGTTTCTGAGAAATCATGTTTCTTAAGTAATTTTGTGGTAGCAAATTCAAAATGTTGTTAGAAATTATGTCGAAATGTAAATGTTTTGAATTAATGCTTTGTCATGTCTGTATGCATGACAAGCAAACAAAATGCTTGTTTTCTGAATGGAGTGGGATCAGGACCATGCTAGGTTAACTTGTTTCATAGTTAAGTATATCTCTGTATTAATTTGAAGTAGTATCTCTGCGTGCCCACAGACTGCTACTACAGTCAACACGAAACAAAAACACTGAGGTCTCCACCCATGGTAAGCAGCTCTGGATCAGAGCCGAACACAGTTTGTCTACAGGTATTTATTCATCCAGAAGCAACGGCTCTACCCCCGGCTCTCCAGCGCTCATCAGCTATCTGTCCCCCCACACAAAAAAGTGACTAAATTATTAATAAAACTCCATAGGGATCAATAGTGAAAACATTCGCAACAGCTAATCAAATCCCTTTAGCATATTTGTAGTTCACTGACAGTGAGAGAAAGAGAAAGTGGTATTAAAACTTAAAGCTTACTGCCTTTGGCTTCTTGCTATTTTCTATTAAATATTTTGTTCCCTAGGACCCCGTCAGAAACCTACTTGCATACACGTCCGAAGAGTGTTATGGGCATAAATTGATGAAGCACAATGTATGGTCAGTGTCTTACAGTTTCATATTAGTCAGTAAAGGATGTGATGTTCAAGAAAAGTATCGACTGTACAGGTAAAGCAATTATACTGTACATTTACCAATGAATAGCTCAATACACTTTGCGTTGGAAAGGACTTCCAGTCAACTGACCGCAAAGAAAACATGTCTCAAGATGAACTTCTGGCCGCGATTTGTGTTTAGACACGAATCACCTAGTAGCAATTATCACTGCCCCCGCCTATCCTTGTTCACCATTGGTGCTACACCTATCAATCAATTAACCCAGGCCTCGCCACAACGCAGTAACAAGGCGATGCTGGCCTCGCCGAAGCAGCAGCAGACGGAGAGCATTTTAAAAGTTTATTAAACTTTAATGCCTCCATGTTGACGTCTAACGAATCTACCGGGTAAAGCACAAATTAAGACCATGAACGGGTTGTTCACATTGTCACTTGCACCCAAACACTGTATAAAGAACTTTATCAAATTTGAGTTATATCCATTGGCTATATCTGGTTTGCCAGATACCTTACCAAAACACTTGGTGGGGGCGGTACGTAGCAGCAACTGTGGCACAATTATCTTATATATTTTTCTACTACAGCTGTTGCTTGTTTGATCTGATAGACCCAAAGGCTTCTACAGAGTCAGAAGAAGCGCAAGTCATGTTTAATGGGGTGTGGACGTCTTCTGTACCTCTGCTTTGCGACTAGAGTTTCGCGTGTCGTGAGCTGAAGAAAGGCTAACTTAGCCAGCTAGTTGGCAATTTAGATAGCTAGTGTTAGCTGGATAACGGTTACTAGCATAGCTCACCAGCTAACGTAAGCTATATGTTAACCAGACATCAGGGTACGCGACAATACACGCTTTTAATCAGGAAAAAAAACCAACCTATTTCCCTTTCAGTCGAAACAATGAATTTGAAACGTTTACTGCTTCATTCGGCTGGAGAAATCTCCGCCATTTTGTCTCTCACCCAACAAATCCATGTGTACTGCTTTACCTGCATCTCCAAGCCCCCTGCGCAGGGAGACGGAGGGGCCAGGCTTTCTGCAATGACTGTTACTTAATTCGGTGTCTTACCATCGTATCTCTCCGCTTGTTCGGCGAGTTTTGCCTGGTATACTAGGTTCTCTCTGTCTGCCATGGTGCTCGGGTATTTGGGACCGTTCGCAAGGTCCCGGTGGAAAAGGAGGATTATCGGCTGCTCTTCGAGTCCTGGTGGTGGATCAGCAACAGCAGTGACGCTCCGCTGAACCGAAGACCCACCGGTAGCACTGGCGTAAAGATGGCGTCCCTACTCCATCCGGGAAACCCACGCACCAGTCTTCATCTACGCCTACGCCCTCGTACCAAATCCTCCGAGATTACCTCACCAAACTCAATTCAAACATCGATCATTTTAGTGTCAAGTGACTTGTCAATAATTTAACATATCGATGATTCAGTTCTTTTTCTTCAATTGCAGCACCCCTTCAATTCGGCATATATATATATATATAAACATTACATCAATATGCAAAACTAGTTTGCAATTCACCCTCAATGCACCATTGACTCATTTAATGTGATAAAGTAGTTGTATGTGCCTTCAGAGCTGCTCTCAGTGGCTTCTTCTTTCTTACTATTATATTGCTTGGTTAAAATTTAGTTTTAAAAATAATACAAACTTAAAATAAAACACCTCGAAGCTTATAAAAATGTACATTACAAGTCTCAAATGTAAAGCTACAATGCTTACAGTTTTCCCTCCTTTATTTTCTAACAAATATATGGTAACCTATCTACTAATAATAATTCAATGCAGTGTAGTAATTGTTCATAGTAAGGTACTGTATACAATGTAAGAGGAATACAGAATAATTCAACCACAAAGCAGACCCTCGGGACATGCCTTCCTTTTATCAACTGGCCGCAAATCACTTCTCACTTCTGTCTTTAACTACAATGTTGTAATGGTTGACTAGCTCATGGGGCCACAAATCTCTTCTGGGAGTTCATGAGACAAAAGGTATACTATTGTTGGACATAATCTGATGGAGAACCTTCACTTGAAAAAGCAGGTACCCCAAGTAAGAGTAGAGTGAAAAGCTGGATGAGCACTTTGCAAAGTAAACTCCAATTCAGCATGGACAACACTGAATTTAATTAAATGGAATAACTTCACACCATATAGTGAGTGATGTAAAGCCCAAACTGACCATTTGGTGCATTTATATTTTTATTGACTAGATATATTAACACATTACATGCTACAGAAAATAAAAAAGGTACATTTTAACTATATTTTCAACAGTTTGACACATTGTACAATCTCTTTAAAAAAAGAAAAATCCTGTTTTTGCTTGTTCGGTCCGCTTCGAAGTCAGAGTAAAATGTCACAAAAGCAAAAACATATGATCACTGTGAAAAAAATTAAATCAACATTTAAATATTATTTGGCTTGAAGAGACAATACATTTTTTATTGAGCTGTAGAGGAGATAAGGTGCACACTGTAGGATCAGTGGTATCTTCTAAAAACATTTTCTAAGTCATTGGTCTTCAACTAACTGCGGTGGCACAGCTGAGTTACAGTGATATCATGACAATGAAATGAGAATATTTTCTCTCAAAGGCAGGTGTGAGTTCAGTGCCATGCATCTGGATGCAATACCCGATTAACACTTTGCATAAAGGTATTGCAACAAACAAAAAAAATTAGGGGGGGAAAGTGGTACCACTACAAAATGGACAGACCGGTGCGTGAAACATAATCACTTCTTTCCTTTTAAAGGAAGTGTGACAAAAGCAACCACCACCATTGTGTTGATATTGAATTGCTGTAACACTGTGCAAAAACAACCCCTACACATAACAGCTGCATTTTCAGTTTAGATTTTTGTCATTACAATTTATACAATAGATAATTTAAAAATACTTAAACATTATGTGACAGATTTCATAAAGCATTTTACTTGCCCCACATCACTAACACACATTTGCAGCAGCTTTACAGAGGCACTCCATGCTAGTAGTCAATAATCTAGGTTACACATCTTTTTATCAGCGCATTAAATGTTGAATGTGCTTTATTCCAATATTTTGGTGAGCTCAAATATTTCACTACAACAAAGAAATGTGGAATGTGGGGACTTATTGGCGGGAACTATTGCTTGTGTTTATTAATATATACAGGGCTGTATATGACCCACCGGTGTTGTTCAAAATTCTCAAGAAACATATGGAAAGAAAAATATGGCATTAATGTAGTGTAAAAACAATTATTTCCTTAAATGAGACAATAACAAGGAATGGAGGGAAAATTTCACAATTTCTAAACACATTTTAAATGCAGACTACATTTCAGAATATCTGGGGTCAGATGCATAAACATTCTGTGTTCATACAAATGCATCTGCTCTTCTTGGTTTGTTTTATCAATCTCATTATGAAGTTGTGCTCTTGTTCACAGGCCTGATTTCTACTCCCACAGTTGAGCTATAACTGGACACACACGCACCATTAACTGTTTGCAAATCAACACCTCCATTTGTTCCATTAGTCTTAAGACACAGTGTTGAAAAGAACAGCAGAATAGCATAATGTCACCAAATATCGGTTACATTTAAACAGTTCTCCATTAAACACAGCTGGGACAATGTATGGCACCAAAGGAAATAAATGAATAAATGTCTTTGATTGCTTTTATAATATAGATACAGTAACCACATAAGTCATTCACACTTTTTGAAACTGGCATATTAAATTCCACCTCTCAGCCCCCCCCATTTCTGCTTTACCATGTCGCATGCCTATACTGTTTTGATGTATGTGCAAGTACACCATTTGATCATAGTCTTCTTTATTATTAATATCATAGTGTGGGAGAAGTGACTTGTGTGCATAGGCATTTTTTTTATACATCTGACCCCTGGACATGGTGGCACTTGATTTGATTGGTTGATTTAGAAAGCACAAAGATAAAATGTATTTATGAGAGTACTATGGAAAGCACATGGCCACGCGCTGGTCATTTTAACATATCAAAAACAAGACTGACTGATGGAGGCTTAGGCAGTAGGTTCCTGCTGACACTCCTCTTTTCCAATACCAGACATGAGTTAGAGAGGATGTATCTCTGCCGATCCTCCCTGGTGACTGACAAAAAAAATAAAAACCTCTGCGTGCAGCTGGGGTTTGTTACTCACCATTTTGTTCCCACTATAGTTTAGCATTGCCGGCATTGCATTTATGTATCATGGCAAAGTTGACACATACAAGTATACGGTAGAAACCAATCTTAGTTTGCTATAATGCATTAGTATTTAAAAACAGTGTTATTGTTGCTGGAAACAGTGTTACATTGGTCTCGTCCCTCTTTACAACCATTTGCAAGCCACCTAATTAGTGTTCACGAGGTAACCGGAGTATAGTGATTTCTCTGCCTACGTTAGGTTCAAGGTTAAAGGGCACATTCTGATGTTGGAAAATGAAATTTAGCAAAGCAGAGCCAAACTCCTCCAGTAACAGATCATTTTATATTTTATTTTATATTGACAATGCTCAGTAGGCTTGTGTGTGTTCATAAAAACTGTGTAATAGCATGTGTATTCAATGTGGGAACAGCTCCTAAGAAACAATACACCTACAGAAAATGTCAATCATGGCATCTGAATGGCACAAGAAATGTCTGTTTTACCAGTTACACATTAAAATGCAATAAAATGAGTGTTTTAGGGTGGATTTTATCGTTAAAGCATCTGTGGATGACAATAAATGTCATAAAAACACTGCTGGAAGACATAAATAAAATCCCTTATTCATTCTCCTCTCATCTTCTGTATCAGGCTCAGGTTATCTTTCTTTCCTCCTTGAAAGGGTGCTGCTTATTTTGTTCTTTCCCACTCCTGCATTTGAAGTCAGCCATGTTGGCACTGAATAGTGTTTTTAAAAAGGACCATAAAATAATAGGCCAACAGACTCTGATAACAAAAAGTAAAAGAAAATCAATTTATAAGGAATTAAAGAATGTTTACAGTATTTTGCCTGTAAGGTGTGTGTATATATAGTCAATTCTATCATAATATTTTCCACTTTTAGTACAAAAAGACTTAGTTTGTAGTGTAGGATGTAATAAGTTGGTGAAATTGTCTTTGCGAAGAGGACCATCTGTCTCCACAAGATGGAGTCATCAGGAAAAGTCTTTGTTTCACTCCAAGGTTCACAGTCTAGCGTTACAAAAGCTCACTGATTCATGATTCTGTGAGAGAAGCAGAGTGTTTTGTCTCCTGCGTGCAATCGATTTTTTCCCTGCTGTACACCGATAACACAGGAAGGGAAAAGTAGGTCGACTCTGCTGTGCATGTGTGGTGCAGACTCGAATACTGGGATGGAGGTGTGTATAAACTAAGGTTTGACCGATATCAGTTACAGGCGCCCAATACTGTCCATTTTGGATTGAAACTCTCAAACTGACATTTTGCAAATATTTAAACAATTTTCATCCCTGTTCTACTGAATGTCTTACACAGCTCATTTGTTCAATTCAAAACTGAATAAATTATTTTAGGGTTAGTAGCCTCTCTTGAGATGCTGTGTGCAGTCACTGCATCCAATAGTTGTTGATCAAGAAACGGCTTCATTTAGTTTGGACCAAAGAAAAAACATTTTTGTATTTTGGTGCTGGTCCATTTCCTGTTCACGTTGACTTCTTACAAAAGCAAAATGTAAACAATAAGTAATATCAACTAACAGACACTGTGATTGGACAGTTTTAGTAACTCTCATCAGCACTACATATACCCAAGAACGGAAATCAAATTTCACTGACTAACAGAAAGTCAGGCAGCACTTCACTGTGTGTGTCTTATTTGGTGATACTGATACTGGTGATAATTAAGAAGTAAATGGTTATAAGCATCATTAGTTGAGACTGCACTTAGACTATGCGTGTTATAAATAATGCCTAATAGGTAGAGACAGGGTGTAAAACAGGTCCCATCTTGTGCTGCAACATTATTGTGGGATAGCTAATGTGTGGTTACTTGTGTATTCCTTTAAAGTGTAACATACTAATATTAAGCCAATAAATGCTGCTATTGTTCTGAATACACATAATGTTTCTTAAGCTTTACAAATCTATATTGTTTGAGAATTGTTATGAGCCTGCAGTCAAAGAGGAAGCCGACAGTGGCAGTGTGTAATGTTGACTTAAAAAAAGCTAATAGGCGAACCAATATCAGTCTGACCTTAGTGTAAACTCCTCAAAATGTAATTAAAATCACCTAAACCGTCTTGCATTGGCAGGGTCAGGAGTGCCTGACCAGTTTAGCGCATAGGTTCATATCTTGTGTGCTTGTATAAATCTTTCTCTTTCCAAACATAACAAAATGACCGAAGGAGAAGGGGTGAGCTGGACACTGTCGAGGTGATGGGAGTGCGTGTGTTTCTCAGCTCTCGTCATCAGGATTCTGCTGTTCCAACAGTCGAACGTGGGTGAAGGGGAAGTGGCCTCGTTTTCCCTTGCACTCACCCTCCCATTGGCCATTCACGTTGATCTTGGTCACTTTTACCATGTCTCCCACCTGTTAATGACAAAACAAAAGCATAAATGCAGGGATAAACACCGACTGCACTTTCTTCTCCTTGTTAACTGGCAGGATCAGTTCTTGCATGTCGAACCTATCAATAAAAGCTCAATGTCTGACTCAAATTCTTTCAAGCCTGCATTAAGAACAGCATAGACATAAAATGTACTGACCCGCCTTCATCATTACAACTGCAGAACAGCAGACCCGCAAACAGACACCCTAGTTTGATTGATATACAGCAATGTCAATTTCTGTTTGGGGAGGGTATTTTGTTTTGCCCTCATCAATCAGTTTCAGTGACACATCCGTCCCAGCGGCGTCATGTTCAGTCAAGAGAGAAGCCATGGTGGAAATTAGAAGGAGCAACTGACATTTTCGCGATTTTTCATAGATAAAGTGGACCAACAACGAGGTGGAAGTGTTACTGAAAGTAACACAGGAGTCCAAAACGACTGTGGCGACGGAAAACAGACTGGACGTTGTCGCAAAGTAAATACGACATCATGCACAGTACAAGTGTAGGCTATAAGTGTTACTTGCACAGTACAAAATATTTTACTGAAAATTCCAAAACTAAAGCACTGTCCGTAACATTATGTTTTGCATGACTTGTTTCATATAAGCCAGACGTGAGCGTCCGCATAATCATTTTTGAAGTCCTCCATCTTTGCCTGTCCTACAGTTTTAAAGCGATAACAGGGTCAGCAGCATTTTCAAACTTCTCTATTTTAGGTCTTCGGATTCACTGTTTTATTCTGGACGGGAGGTGCAAACGTAGAAAAAGCTCATCATTGGTCATCAAGGTAACGGAAGTCATTTCCCCATTACGGTTATTTCAGTTTTTAATCCTATCAATATTTTCCACATAGTGTGTGTTTCTGTACTTTTCCCTTAAAAACATAATACTGCGTGTGAAGTCATGTGACTTTGCCCCATCCAGTCCTGCTCAGCTTCCACACCAGAGTCTGAAGCACAGGGAGATGTTAGCCAGCACTAACCACCTTCACTTTCCAACAGGGAAACAGACTCTTATTAACAGAACTGTGACCTACACTATACATTTTCTGCCAGACTGACAACCTACTCGGTCGCTTTCACCGCCACTTTAATGCCCGATTGCTCTCTCACCCATAATTAGAAAAAGTTCTAATTGGTCGATTATTTCTCCAACTGCGAGAACCAGCCATGAATAATGGGCACAACACCACAGCTATCTGAAGATAGTAGTTGTTAATAGCATTAATTCAGATGTCTGGATGAGGCTATAAGGTCCAAATCATTTGTTAGTCAAATCCTAATTGCAGTGCCCATTTTACATGTGTTGGTGGTCTGTCTGCTATGATGGTTTAATTGTGAATTTTTGTGTTAAAAACTAAAAATCAGGTGATGTGGATGCACAGAAGTAAAATACAGGAAGTCACAGGATGTTGTAATTCCAGGTTATAAACTGCTCTGCAGGCAATGAACTTTAAATAGGACTTGATTTCAAAATAACATCATGTAAATCACAAAGTAATAGTCCTTATCTACAATAAGAGCTCTGTGTTCTGCACAGTCAACCTTGACTTCACACACTGTTTCCCTACACTTAGCAGGTTGCACAAATATATTGTAGTCTATTTAACAGTGGCAGCGGTTCATAAACAGTGTAATGCCATCTAGTCTGCTCTATCTCATACAGAAGCAAACATATAAACCGTCTTCCACTCTTGGTATTTTAAACAAAATGGTGGCCTCTGTGTTTCTTGAGAGGACTCGAACTGGGCTGCACAGACAACACCAGGAGCCCCAACAAGCTGCTCAGGCCAAACTGCATGAATATCCACAAGGTCTTTGAGTTGTGAGTTTGCAGGCTAGGCTCATTAACCATCAGCTTGTTGACAGCCAGCTTGTCACAGTAAACAGTATATGTGATGTGAAGGCACTGTGTTATTAAACTCCACCATTGTCTGCATTTTATTTACTAATCTGACTAAACGCTGTTCCAAGAAAACAAGTAAAAACAACGTGCCTTGTTTCACTAGGCTCCAGTGGTAATGAACGTACAATGTAACATTGACATTAATCCAGTGGGCCACAATGTTTACATAAAAACAGGCCAATGTGAAGGATCTGTGTCTGTCTCTCTATAGAGCCATCTCCACCGTGAGTGTCTTCATGTGTGCTGTCAGCTTGCATTTGTAAAGATATTTTGTGTGTATGCTCACATGCATGAGTAAGCCATTAACAAGAAGGACAATCTAAGCTGCCTCTGCTGAGACACGAAAAAGAAAACAGGGAGCCAAAAGAGCTTAACAGTGGAAAAAAGGACAGCCTGGGAGATAATGAATGGTGGGTGGAATTGCTACCTCCAGAGCGAGCGCCGTCTTGTCGTAGGCGTTGGGCACCCTCTTCTGAATGGCCCGGGCATAGACAGGCCCATTCTGTAGGTTAGGGAGCTGGGCATTGACCACAGGCTGAGCATACTGGCCTGGGTCTCCCAGAGGGTTGGCCTGAGGGGCCCCTGTTCCATCTGTGCTGCCCGTTACCCCACCAACTTGCCCCCCCTGTCCAGGACCAAGGCCAGCAGTGGGCGAGGCAGGCCTGTACTTCTCCACGTAGGGCACGGGGATCATTCCGGCTCGGCCCTCCTGGTTAGCAGCGTTCCACCACTGCTCCTCAGGCTTCTCCAGCACCCGCAAGATGTCACCCTTGCGGAAGGGGAGGTCCTCCTCATCGTTGCCAGGGAAGTCAAACAGCGCCCGTACAAACTCCGCCTCCTCGGGCTGCTGTGGGACACCAACAGAGGAACTGATGAATCCCGTGTGCTTGGCCTTGCTAATAGGCTCTATAAGTGTGGTGGTGTCCAGGTAATGGATCTTATAAAATTCCAGCAGGGCCGGCAGCGCCTCAAACTCCTGATCCCCAATCCGAAACCGTGGAGAGGCCAAACCTGGCAGAGGAAAGGTGACTTTGTTAGTTTGCTGAAGGTAAAACATAGAAACAAACCCATCTAACACATAAATAAAAAGTCATGTCCCACAATGGATCAACAAGGGCAACTCATACTGGCAGCACTGACCAGCTTGCTCTAACTTACTCTGCATTCACACAGCAAGCAAGGAGATTAACTATTTACTGAAAAGTCCAACCATATCCTTTATCAGTGATCACAATAAAAAGTTTCATATCTTTCAATATCGATAATTATCACGATAAGCATCAAATCGTTATTTCTTTCGAGTTTAAAGGCAGATTTTTGCTCCTGAGTGAAAGCTGAAGAAACCTGATGGTTAATTGTGGTTTAAACTTTTCTTTACGTGCAACACTTGAGGCTAAACAGTGGATCACTTCACAAATCTAAGGTGGAACATTCAAAACAATAATGATAAAATCTTTGTCAACAAATATGCGCGAGTAAAATTAAGTAAAAGCTTTCACTCCTCTTTCCACAACAAAATAAACATCTTAATTTAAAAAAAAAAAAAAGTAATTCATGTACAATTCAAGTAAATAAAATCAAACATTTATTGAACATTTGTTATTGAAAAACATTATATTGCGATAATTATTGTCATCCAGCCCAAATCAAGGCATTTCATCACATTAATGCAAAAATTCAGTAAATCCAATATTGCCATAAAGAAATCCTGCTCACTGATTTGCAACATTGCCCACAATGTCCAAATACAACCAGGGATATTAAGGAAAATACAGACAGTTAGCTCGCTAGAAACAAGATGGCAAAATCTCAACAGGTTGACAAATACATACAGTAGTATCAATCAATCCTAACAAATTGTATAAGAAAATATAGTTGCATGAGCCCACATCATTTTGTGTAAACGCTGATTTTTTTTTAGCCAACATGTTCAGGCAAATTGATTCGAGTCAGTTTGAGTAGCATTTAGGCAGAGAAAGGCAGTTGCACTACTAGCTTCTGCAAAAAGCTATTTTAATGCCCCTGGTGTGCACATCATACTCGCTTCAAATAACAGCCCCAAAATAGGTACCGTTCCTACACATCAGCCACTCACTTGTGATCCCAAAAGAAATTTGATCACTATTAACTATTACTAACCATAAAATGTGTGTCATACTTCCAAATGATTTGGATAATATAGTTACCGAAATGGCCCCAAACTGATTAGTTACTACAGAGATAAAAAAGGACCCACTGCCAAGGAAGCCTAGAAAGGACAAGCACAACGGCAGCAGACCTGTAAGCAGGCCTATGTATGTGCAACAGGGCAGGATCACAGAAATTCCTGAAACACCAATCTGGCCAGTCATCCTCCAGTTGTGACAGCCCAGCCTGCCCAGTTCATTCAATCCCTGCAGCAGCAGCCAACAGCTGCCCAGCCCACCTCACTAACGTTACTGCTGGGCGCCGAGCTACCGTCCTGCTCCCTACACAAGGAGAAAACACGCAAACAAACAATCTTCATAAGTTATTACGGGGGTTGGATTAATAAAGCGTGAATGCTTATTCATAGCTAGCCAGCTAATCGGTAAAGTACCACCAAACTCAATTTAAAAAGTAGCCCAACAGTTACTTAACTTTAAGCTGCTCATCCATATAGTAATTTATTCAATTTGTACAACATTAGCGTTACTTTGATATGATTTCCAACATATAATTTCAGTGTAAAGTGTCTTAACACGTTAGACTGACTTCTGTTCTACCTACAGTAACGTTAGCTAGGCAGTTAGCTTAAGCTACACGGTCCAAAAGAACTTACGTTGGGCGGTAGCGAGCAGGGTAACGTTTCATCTTAAGTTCTCTTTTTAGTTCTAAAAAATGAATATTAGCATAGTGTATATATGCCGACATTAAGAGTACCCTCCAAAAACACAGCAAATATTTAAACTTATGTGATAAAGGGCTGGTATATTTGAAGATTTACCAAGTTCCACTTAAATGAGCAAATTCATAAAGGACGTTTGGCGTAGCTTGACGAGCGAGTGGGACGTAACTGGGGCTAAATCACAGTTATCCAAAATGAAAATGTAAATACACATTGTCACATTAGTATCGGGGGAACCTGTAGCAGGCTCAGTCAAGTAACGTTACCTAACTATGTAATCAACAATTAAACGTTAACGTTACCTGAGCCAGATTGCCGGTTGTTACTGATGCTGTTGATTATATAATGGGACACTTTGGAGTTCTCTGAAACGGACAGCACGTAGTCACCAGGGCTGGTAATTGAATCCCTCGCCAGGAAAACGCCATGTCTCTGTCCCTGTAAAAGAGAAACTGCTTCCTGGCGGCTGAGTCTTCCCCAGTACCAGCTAGCACGGTCTTCGGCATCAAAATTACCGGCCATGGCTGTGAAATCCTGTCCGAGGCTTGAGGCCTTTCCCCTTCGCCTCTCCCTATCCGCAACTCATACAAAAACTTTGATTGACTAACGGTTTCCCTTAAAAAACAAAGGTATACTACCGCAATTTTACCAACTTCCACCAATAGTATCAAGGCGTTTAAGTTGACGGAACTTCTGTTACACCGCAAACCCCAACACTTAACAACTTAAGCGTTAAAATGATTTTTCAAAAACTAATGTGTAACAAGAAACTCCGTGACTGAAATGGCGGATCTGGGGAAAAGTTGACCTCATCTACCGGAAGGGATGCCTGGTCACTGGGAAGCGTTGCATTCACGCCCCATAAAAAACACTGTAGATACGACTTAACAACTCTTCTACTTCTTTTAGACCATAACACTTTACACTGCTGCCGCCCATTGTTTATTGAGCGTGTCGTTTATCCCGTCGTTTACAAATTGAAAATATTAAAACTAAAAGGTTTGATTTAGAACAACATAGTAGCTTAATATATTCTAACTGGTTTGAAGCCTTAAACGCACCATAATTAAACTTTTCTGCAGACGTTGGTTGCTCAGCTTATAAACAGTTCACAAACAAGCATTTTGTGAGTTTAACTTTTTGTCCTATAAAAATACATTGTAATGCCAAATAATGATCTCAAAATGGGGTTTAAAGATTTAAGATTTATCAAAGATTATAAAAGAAAAGGTTTGTAAAAATTAAATTGTATTTTAGGTCACTGGCCTTTTGCTGTACATTTATTCTACCAGCAGATGGCAATGCACACTACGATTAGGAATGGACCTCCATTTAATGAAATATTTTTGACACGGTTGGCAGGGAAATATACAATTTTAAACGAGTCTTATTTGCCATTGCGACCAAATGCTATGTATGAAAAATAATTTTTTTTATCATGGGTTCCCCGACTAAACGTGTCATGAATGTGGACCCCAGGATACCTGGTTGATAGTTTATTATTGGTTGATCATGGACGATACATGGCCTGGTTTCCCACACCATCCCCCTCATTATACATTACTAACACGGACAGAGACATTTACAGTAGATTTAGATAGATGTTTGGGGAGTACCGAGCATGAAATTTCATTCTTGACCTTTAGAGTAGTTTGATATGAAAATACTTACTAGTTTTTTATCTGAGCTAACAACCACATTTTATGGTATTTCTCAGCTGATAGAGAGTTGGCTCAGATATCCTCTGATGCAGCGAGGTGACGTCTTCTTCCTTGTTAACAGTGAATTGTTTAATAATGTAAAATACCTGCAACCTCTATTAATTTCATGCCAACTATTATCACTGACATCAATCCTAAATCTCACTTGAATGATGTGAATTTGGCTTCTGATGATCGTATTTTGTGCCACTGAAACACTGAGACACTCCTCCATGCATATTTTTAATAGTTAAATTATTTACAGACTTGCACTCCACCTCTTGACCTTATTTGTCTTTTTGTCTCTCTTAATCTTCCTCCCTTTTGTAAATACAGCAACATTAAAGCCACACACATTACATGTCAAAAGAAATTTTAAGAATCAGTGTCGATGCACTATAAATTCTTGAGAATATGGGGTGAATACACACATACAGTATAAAACTGATCAACATATTTAGGATTTGGCAGAGAAGACATTTGTCACACACTAAAGTTGTCGTTTATGTGATTCAATCAAGAGTGAACACTTGAGTTATTCAAACTTCTTTAAGTGGTTGTAGAGGGACTGGACGTATGTAAACACACACATGGGGTCTGGCTTGTCCCCCATCATCATCATGTCCTCCACCTCGATCAGACGGAGACAGTCAGCCTGCACCCTGAAACATAAAAGTATAATCATGGGATTTAAGATGGATACACTATAAAGAAGTGATTTATGTTTTTACACTGAAAGGAAAAATGTTGACATAAAGTTACAATCATTCAAAGCACAAACAAACGTATGCTGCTGAGCTTCCAGTAGACATACAGTTTGAACACTGGCCTGAATGTCTGCTCTGTTTCAGAAGATGCTGCCGCTCCAGCCAAGACTCCTTCTGTTTGGGTATCTTTCAATTCATACCGGTCAAGTCCAAGTCAAGTCACACAAAGTTTTAAAGCAAAAGTTAGACTTCTTGGTAAGATGAAAAAATAGGATACCCGTCATTAAATATAATCTTAGCTTGCAAAGCTAACCAATTAACCTGTTATATCTCATTAGTTTCAGACTGTACAGAAACCAAAGTGTAAAAATGACACTTTGCATTTTTACAGGGGTTATATATATTATTTCTTGGCTATGAGCTGTTGACAGGCCACCAGATGAGACTCCAGGAAGTTACTGTACCTAGCTGAGAATTGAGAAATTGCTTTTTTCCATTAAGGTTTTTAACAGTTTTCAGAATTGAACAATTCACTAGGTAACTTTTGAACATATTCTATGTTTTACAAACGAAGTGAAATCCAGTAGCAATAAAAACACACCTTTGCTGAATTCAGTTCACTAAGGGGTTGTGCTGATACAGCCTTACTTAGTCTGGTAAGACCAGTAGCTTATGTTATGTTAATGTTAGCAGACTTTTGGAGTTCTGTACTACTGTTGCACTGTGTTTTACCATTAGTATAATAGGAAATTGATCCATGTCAGGTCACCTCTTTCTCCTCATTTGCCTTTTCCCAACTTGGTTTAAGGGCAAAATGCTTCTAAAATAATTTTGCATTTACAATTATTCTTCTGGCCGCCTTTCAGCAATCATATCATAGTCTTGCTTTAATGTACATTTTGGCCGTGTTTGCATCTGTTTGATTCATTGCTGAATTTGTCAAATTTCATGTATGGATGAATTTCTCGTATGGACAGTGATAAACTGTCCATACGAGACTACCAGTCAACTAAACTGTGGTACCTTTCAAAATATCATCTATGTTAGAATACCTTTAATTTGGGTACAAATGTACTTGTAATCATATTACACTCACTCACTCACTCACTCACAGCCTCACTCAGTCCATTCTAGCCAGCTTACTCTGCGGTGGTGAAGGCCAGCTCAAGGTTGTGTTTGCGGTTCGCCGGTTGCAGCGTGTTGTAATCAAACTCCAGAGGGAAAAAAGAGTGGACCAGAGCACAAAAGGCCATCCCATCACTCCAGCTGGAAGAGAAGTTCTGGATATCTATGTTCTGAGAGAAAGATGATAATGATATCGCATTAAACCTTTCATGTTGACATTGATTGAGTTGCCTTCTGCAGTCTGTCTTCTGCAATACTGCTAAACTGTCTAGTGTGAGATAAGAGGAAAGTGTCTTCAAAGTTTATTTAACATCTTTTTGTGTTTTACAACCTAAATCCTGATGTTCACAATCCTACCATTATATTTAAAAAACTTAAATGGCATTTTATTTAAAATGTGTTTTTGTTTTTACAGAAATTGAATAGTAAACTTTAATCTCGGTTCCCCTGTTGGCTTTTCCGCAGATTAAATTACTTTTCATGCCTTCCTTGTATAATCATGTGTTGAAAAGTAACCAATGAGAAATTAAGCAAATGCCTAAAGGGAACAAAGCTGAAGTTCTGAAAGAACAAAAGAAAGGTCAAAGTACTTTACAGTGCAGTGAAATCATATGGAAAACTGAATACAATGTCATCAGGTGATTTTATGGGATTCCAGTAGCTGCTCAACAACGTTCTGTCTTATACGTTTGCATAGTTGTCATGGAAGTAAACATGTTCAAATTTCCATTTCTTTTGACAATGAAAATTGGGCAAAATCCATCTGCTAATGAAAATAATGTGATCTGATCTAAAGCTCCATCACATTTGAACACATAGCTTTTAAGCTAACATGGACAAGAGGTCCATAAAGTGCTGAGAAACAAATATAATGCATACAGTATGTTTGTTTATTATTATTATTATTATTATTATTATTATTATATGACAAAAATGAAAATAAATCCTGTTGTCGTACCTGATAGCCAATGGTTTTTGAGCGGCACCACTCCAAGAGAATCTGTTTTATGCCGCTGGCACTGGACACACCAAAACTCTGAGAGCGCTTCAGTTTAGGCTTTGAATCCTTTGGTCTATTTAAGAGAAATGCAACTCACTGTATGACAAAGTCAGTCCGGGGAACATATGGATTAGGATGAAGTGGGAAATATTTTAAATACACTAACTTTGTAGGCTCTGAGTTCATCCTCTCAAAGAGGGCCCGTTTGGCCTGAGCTCCATTTGAGCGTGGAAGCGTTTGTGATTTCATCACATCCTGTTTAAACTCAACCCCCCCTGCCTTGTTCACTTTCCTATGGAGAAAACAGTGGACAACAGATTTAAATTAAGTTTGGACTGGAGCTGCCAAGAGGCTGTAAATTAGACAAATCAACACATCAATCTAACAATTGTCAACAGTAAGTGAACTTCATCTGGTCACAACTTACTTGTCCAAATTAGGTGAGAAACCAGATTTTATGATTGATTTGGAGGGAAGCAGTTTTTCTGCAGAAACACAAAGAGAAAGTCTGGGTGAACAAGAAAGATGACATGAGATACAAGAGACAAAAACAAACAAAAAGTGCCCCGTGAACAGGCTGTATTTTACCTGCAGGCTGAGGAAAGCTCACGCTTCTCTTTAGACTGGGACTGGGTGTCTTGAGAATTGGTACTGCATTGATGAGGTAAGACAGAAAACGATGGGTTGAAGTGGAGAATGTTGGAAAACAAAATTAAAAATAAAGGACATAAAAAAATCTTTGAAAATATGTAACATCAAGTGAAGAAGAATGTAGAAACTATAAAAAAGGAACAACCCATGAGCTTTATTTTAGAGACAGACCCTGGTTTAACTCACCACGCTTAAAGGGATATTCCCCAGGTTTTAATGCGGTTTCTTGTGATGACGAAAGTCTTGGCGACTGAGCTGTTGATGAAGACTCTGTGCTGGATGTGGTCAAGGCAGAGAGAGCCAAGTGTGGCTTGGGTTCAGTGATATCTAATGAAGAGAGAAATAAAGCACATGAAATTAAATTTTCCAACACTTAAAAAAAAAAAAGTCAGTGTATATACATACATAATTGAATAATGTAACTATTCTCACGCTTGGTTTGAGGACCCTTTTGTATATTTTAAGACGATTCATAGTGATATTGTATCATTGTACTCACCGCGTCTAAATGGATATCCGCCTGGCTTCATTGTCGGGGATTCTGAGATTGAAGTCTCAGAGCTGCTTTTTGAAACAGCTGTGAGAGGAAGGTGGGCCAACGCCTGTGATACAGACCCTGACGGCTCCTTTGTTCCAGATGTGCCTGCACAAGTGAAGATGGAATAGAATAATAACTGGAATTGATCCAGCTTTAATTTAGTGAAAATAAAAAACAGACAATGACACAGTTTTACAGAAAGTGTGTGTGTGTGTGTGTGTTTGTGTGTGCTTGCTGCTGACAAATTGTACTTGAAATATGAAATTGCTTTGATGTGTCAGGTGAAGTGTATTTACTGAAGGGAGTTGAATTTCAAGAGAAAGAGATCTAGGCTTCTGTTATTTATCAATGTGCTGACAGTTACAAAGTCCAAAACTTCATCAACACAACGTTACAGAATGCTTTCCCAGGAGTGCAGGGGATCAAATCCTATGAATGCATCTCCATAGTCTGCAGTATATGTACACAATAATATTAAGTAAAATATATAAATATATTCACCTGCTTCCCCTGTTGGAGCTTCTGCTGTAGAGTGACCAGCTGCATTAGGCACTGATGCTGGACACTGGGCAGGTTTGGTGGCAATCAAACCTTCTGGACTGGGTTTTGTCTTCATGGCAGTGACAGGAAGATGGGGCTGGGGTTCATCAGCATCTGAAAAAGGGAAAATCCGAATAAAGAATGTGATTGAGCGTTGTGATTGTCTACATCGTCATGAGAGCTGCAACGATTAATCAACTAAACTATTAAATGAATCAACATTTATTTGGATAATCGATTAATCAGTTTGAGCCATTTTTATAGAAAACTCATTTGATGACCGCTTCTCAAATGTGAATATATTCTGGTTTCTTTACTCCTCTCCATTAAACTGAATATCTTTCGGTTGTGGACAAAACAAGACATTTAAGGACGTCATCTTAGGCTATGGGATACACTGACTGGCATTTTTACCATTTTCTGACATTTTATAAACCAAACAACTAATCAGTTAATTGAGAAAATAATCAACAGATCAATCAACAATGAAAATAATAGTTAGTTGCTAATCTTGATGCTTTATTGATGCTTGTATGTTGTTCCATAAGTTGTTTTGAATAAAAGCGTAAATGTAATATAAATGTAAATCTCCATGTAGATTTCCCATCGCATAAACCACATAACAGAAACAGCAGAATTAATGAGCATTTGAGAATAATGAGTTTGGTTATACTGACTAAACAGAGAAACACATTGAAATACACAACCAAATAGATTTTCCGCTCACCACATTTAGCAGGAGACTCTACTGATGATCCAGAGGCAGTAGACTGTGGAACAGCTGGAGCTTCGGAGCTGGCTTTTGTCATTGCAGTGAGGGGATGATGCGGTTTGGTCAGAAGACCCAATTCTTCCTGGTCTGGAAGAAAAACGTTCATTCAATCATTAAAACGAACTTTGACAGTGATGGTGGTACAGATTTCTATGTACCACTGCTCAACAATTATTATTTTTAAGGCATTTGTTCACATAAAACTCCAATTTTAATGATAAAATAAATCATTGCCGGTACAAACTATTTCAACATGTATGAATACACAACATTTGTAATTGTATGTAATAAAATGTAATACAAGAAAAAAAACACTAATGTAACCATTTGATAAATTAGAGTTAATTCATTTTAAAGCTGTTGACCGTGAATCCATGGCTGATGGTGGGCAATGTGATTGACACTTTCAGGTTTATTTGACTACAAAGTAATAGCACAATAAGAATTGATCAACACTGGTTGCCTTTTGGATGCTGTTGAATTGATTTTGATTGAATTTTTTAAGTTTCATTCAGAGACTTTTACACCTTAGCAGAAAGATAATTCTTGACTGATATTTTGAAATCTACATATTGTCATCAATAATTGTATATATTGTGTACTGTGTTGAATCTTTTCTATAAAAACAAACAATGTTGTATGAACAGACCAGGCACATTGGGGGTTTCCACAGGTGAATGAAGAGAGTTAGTTTTGGCTGACGGCTCTGGGTTTGGTTTCGTGATGGAGGTGAGAGGCCGGTGGGAATGGGGAACAGGTTCAACAGTTTGCGCTGCATCAGAGTCCACTGATGAGCTTTCTGAGAAGAAATAACCAAACGTTAACCAAAGGTGAGGTTAGCTTGTCAGGTTTCCTTTGTGCAACTTCTCAGATCGTCTGCCTACCTTGGTTCCCATTCTCTTGTGCAGACGTGGTAACATTTGTCTCTCCTTTTGTATCAGTGCCCTGTTCAGTAAAGACAAGACATACAAAACATGCATTTCTATTATTTTGTGTCTTTTCATGACTAAACAATGACCAGCACAAACTGGGAGGGCCAATCACAGCCTCAAAGAAACATACCAAGTTAATGGAAGATTAATGTCATAAGGCAACTATGAACACGAATATTTTTTAATGGCATGCACTGAGCCTTGTAGGGATTTATACTCATGTTGTTAACTTATTCCTGGCAAGTTAACGTTTAAGCAATTTGACTTACAGTCAGTTAAAGCTATCTAGCTGTTTCCTCCGACAGGATGCTGTATGTGTTGGTTCTGATAGGTATTATTCTTATTGGTTCGATTGTATTGTGCGAAAACATCTGTCTAATGTTAAAGTCAATTTTGTAGTTACTGTTCTTTATTGTATGTAAGAACATTTACAGTAAGAAGCTCTTCTTTATCAACTTTTCGATGTGGTGAAAAAATTCCAAACTTCTAATTGAGAATCTAAAAATCTAATCTGAAATAGGCGCGACTGTATTTCATTTGCCTCTGTTTGATGTGGGAATCCAGGAGTGTCCAACAAATCAGCATTTCACATCCCTGTGAATATGGCAGTGGCTGACACACCTAAAGTAACAGTGGGAGGGGATGGGATAGAGGCAAATAATATAAACAAAACGTGGTTAATTAATTTTAAGAATAGTATAACACAACAAACCTGAATGAAGAATTGTAAAAGGAATCCCATTTGCATTGCCAGCCATGACTTCAGGAAGATAAATGAGTTATGTAAGACATTCAGCTAAATGTGTCTCTGTCTATTTGTACATTTGCCTTAGCAACATCACTCTTGGGCTTTTCACTCCCAACACTGATTTGTTCACAACAAAGGAAGATAGTTCTTTTGTCTTTCAGACTGCTGCATGGTGTGGAGCTAAAATTAATTTTAGGCCTTTATCCTCCGTGGTAAATCTGTCGCTGTGTGCATGTGTGAACTCACTTCTCTAAAGGTGTGATCTTCAGCTGTTAACAGCTGAAAACATCTCTTTTAGTGACAGCTGTGGCCAACAAACCCATGTTCCCACTGAGAGACAATTTTAGATTTTGCAATCAGCCCCTTTGCAAGAGTTTCCGCTCCACTCTTCTTACATCCCAATATAGCCCCAAATGGATGTTTTGGAAATCAGGGAGTTAGCCTGAGCTGTTCTAACAGTGCCTTAGTATATCAGCCTGCAGCTTTGGCCTGTATTTGCCCCCTCTCCCACCCCCTGGATTTTGCTTTCCAGAGACCCGCAGTGGTCTGGCAGCAATGCAATAGAGCCATTTCAGCCAGTCCGTCAACTCGTCGTCAAGAGGGAGATTATCACCACAGTGATATGTGGGCTCTGCGGTTGCTCCTGTAGGATATCACAGTCTGACTCTGTCTGACCCTGTTAATCACTTTAACCTCTGGCTGGGTTTACCTCCATATCGCTTTGGCTCCTTCCTAGAAACATGCAAATACACTTTGGTTGGAGACGGACAAACACAGGCATGTCCGTTAATTCAAGTCAGAAAAACACATTTGGCCAAAAAGTTTTTCTCACCACTAAGGATCCTGATTGTTAATGCCACAATGATATAAAGTATTACATTGTTGACCCATTTTACTGTACCAATTTTTATTTTTCAGATTTGAAAATCCAATTAATTTCATGGCTAACAAGGAGTTACATACAGTGTAACTCCTTGTCACAACCAGATGATTGAATAACCCAAATTTGAGACACCTAAAACAACTGTCAATTAAGCAAACACCTGGACCTAGCTGCGCTAATAATGAAAAAGCTGTTGCCTGACAAACCCACAGAGACAGATCTCCGGACCCTGCAGTTCCCCTCACCTCTTCAGCTCTCATTTTAGAATATTTCACCTCATTGTTTTGGTTTTATGGCGCACAACTTTACGGTTTGGTTCAATCTCACCGCTCTCACCAACCTTGTTTCCAAAGTTAGCAACTAGCTGGTGAACACAGTAGGACATTTAGCAGAGCAGGAGCCGGATATTTCTCAGGAGTTGGTGGAGACTAAAACTAAACTAACGGAAGTGCATTTTGAACGTCAGGTGGACAGAAACACGATTCCACGTGAACTAATGTTGCTTCGTGTCTGCTGGATGTCAGCTAACACGTTCACCATAACATCTTCATATGGTGAAACAAAGTTCAGAGATTTTCTGGAGCTATTTGTGGTGCTACAGTAAATTTTCAGGAACTTGACATTGGTTTCAGCTTGGTAGCAACATGAGATGCAATAATCATCCAAATGGGGATCATGCAGCACACGTTGAGAACCCTCTCTCCTCAAAGGCGTTCATGGTGTTGCACTCGTTTGCACATATGAAAAGTGATGGAAGTTGTTGTGTGACGACCTAAAAAAGGAGAGCTTGAGGAAGGAGTTCTAGTCCTGCTTACCTTTTCACTTTTTTTCACTCTCTGCATGAAGTGGATGTGTTAGCTGCAAGGATGAAGACAAACTCAACATATTTTTTAAATAGATGGTGTCAGATTTGAAAATGATGGAGCAGAGTATTAACTAATGAATCAGAGGGCTATCTTAGTACTGGGGGGTTAAATTGTGGTACGTCAGAGTGGGGGGCTGATGGGTGGGAAAAGACCAGGTGACTTCAGTGGAGAGGAATGTTGGCAGGGTGTGCATTTTGACAGGACAGCTGGTTGTCCCTCTCAGGGTGTGGGATGGGGTTATTATTAACAGGGACGTAGACGCAATTCAACTTTCCATTACGAGATTTGAGACTTGGATTGGCCGGGAATCCAGATTCCTGAGTGATTAGAGGACACAGATCTATTAATATACCTGTCTTTAAAGTGTGCGTGTGAGTTATGTCATTAAAATGCAACACAAAATGTGTACTGCATATACTGTTAGCAGCATGTAGTGTAGTATACTGTTGTTGTTTGACAGTTAGTCCTTTATGTCCTTAACTATGGCTTTGAGCTCATTTAAAAAATCTGAGTTTATTAGTAAAGCAGATATTGCGAATGAACTGATCATTTACACCTGCATTCCTGTATCTGTCTCCATCAATGTGTGTAAACGGTGTGTGTTTACAGTAAGGAAGTACGTTGCCGTGCTGTTGAAGTTGATATGCAGCACGAAGAGGCTCTAAAGAGCTGCAGCTCAGTCCCAAATCACAGACCCCAAAATACATGTGCCCTTTGGAGGACCTGCTGTTATAAAAGCAGGTCACGAGCAAAAGAGAGCTGAGATGGGGGTAGGGAAGGGTGTAAGTGTGTAAAGCACATGTGTGTGGAGGTGGGGCTGCTCTTAAATTAATTTGGGCCAATATAAGGGCATAATCCCTGTAATGGCAATATTCAAGGTAATAGTAATGCTAGATATTATTATCAGTCTGCAATGAAACATAACATGATAATATCTAATAATACTAATTGCATGTCATGCAGAGCCTATAGGATCAATTTGTTAGCATGTCCGATCTGTTGAAGGGTGAATTTTTACATACATGGAAAATAGGGTTGAGGAATATACCACTGGGTTCCAATTAACAGATTGATTTCTGGTTGGATGATGAAGTAATCTATAGTGACCATTTGACAGGCTCATGTACACTGCATTTGAATGTCTGACACAAAGTCAGTGCTTGGTGTGATTTTGAAAGGATAAAGGCATTGTGATTAAATGATTGTCACTGTGATAAGTTGCCAGAGTTGTAAAATCTTCCCTCACAGTATTATAAACATCTGTGCAGTGTAGTGGCGTCTGATAAGCCTTCAAATGGATCTATTACTCAAACGGGATCATATTTCTGGATGTCTCACTATTACCTAAAGCAATTACGCCCCCACCAACGCAGCCCAAACACTTGAGCAGTTACGGAGTAGTGACTATGGATCAAATCAGGAACTAATTAATAAATAGCTCTGAATCAAGGAAAACACAATATATAATGAAAATATCTGACACAAAGACATACTATATTAATGAATATTGGTGATTTCTAGATTATTATTAGTTACTATTGCGGTGTCCAAACAATAATGCTGTGATGATGTGTTGAGAGGAAACCTGCTTGACACTGTTCTTGATCATAAAAGTTTATTAAATCAAGGAGTTCAGCATCAACATCGTGCCTCTTCAAGTAAAGTGGTGCATCAAACTGAGCTGTTACCATGCACGCATAATTAAAGCACGATCGTCTTACCATTTTTTACATTTTCGTGTCCTCTCAGCAAAACAGAGCATCACCCAATCCAATTGACAAGTTGGTAGGTGTTAATTAATGGTGACCAGGCCCATTTTGATTTGTGCACAGCTTTACAACACCCTACACCTGTTACTCACCATCCATACAGGAATTTTACTACTGATATTACCAACATACATATCCAATGATGCTGTTTATGTTGTTATCCCTCTTTTGTAGCAACCCAGAGGCGGGTTATAATGTTCTTTATTCTGTAGAAAAACAGGACGAGTACTTACGTTAATTTCAGCATGTCTCTTTGCTCTCCATGGAGGAGGGGCTGGGGTGTTGCTGGGAGCAGCAGCAGCATGGCTTGATCCTCCACTTGACCCTGATGTTTCAGAGTATGTGGAAGTAGACTGACTTGACTGGCTGTTCTCTGATCTTCCAGAGTTAACCAGACTTCTCTGGTCTTCCTGGGTCTTGGGCAGTATCAGTGCATGTCCGTTCTCTATACTATCCCCCACGTTCTTCACCTTCACTTCAGCAGGACCCCTCTCGATCTTTACCCCGGCGAGACCCTCCACCAGGCAGCTGAGGGCCTCCAGCTTTGCCCTGAGCTGCAGGTTCTCCTCCTGCAGTCTGGTCACCGCCCCAGCCAAGGGTCCATTGGAAATGCACAGCTCCTCAATCCTCTGTTCTATGCGCTGCTTGAAAGCACTTACGTCCACATGCACCTCCCTTATGGCAGCTTGCAAGGTGGCCCTGAACTGAGTCAGAGCCTCGCTTACCATTGCCTCCTGAAGACCCTCTGTGGCTTCCATGGCTTCTTTAGTGACCCTAACCACCCCTAAGATTCAAGTCAAATGAGTAATGGGGTAGTCAGTATGGAGCTCAGAAACCAAACCTTCTATATTTCTTGTCTTTCTTCAGTTCGTTCTCTGATTCACGTCCTTACGATGAAAAGAAGGCTTTGAGTTCTTGACCTAATAATCTCTATTAATTCTTTCCTTCTGAAAAACTTTCAAAGACAACCACGGTGTTCCATGCCAATATTTCAGCAAAGTTGAAGAAGCAAAAGGGTTTTAAAGGATGAACGGAGTTGCAGGAAGATTCCTTCCTTGGCTGCAACTCATTAAAGTCCCATCAAGCTCCATGGAGGACTTCTCTCAGTGTGCGTATTATCTTACTCTCTCATCTGGTCAAAGTAAGAGCAGTTGTTATTTATAAGCCATGGAAAACACAATGTCATCTTGGGAAAAGAGATTATGTACCGCGCAGGCAGATCGAGTTCTCAGTGCATGCAGGAGCTGAGGAATGATCAAACTTAACCTTTCCAGGGATCCAGTTGAAGTGGCAGATGATTATGTTCCGTCTTCCTCTTTGGTAGTGCGTCTACTAGATGTGTGCCCGTTCTGCCCCCAAGCCCAGTATGTTGTCTGAGCTATCTGTGTCTGCTAAGCTTGGGAGCAACAGGTTCGCCTCTGTATTTTGGGACATAAAGGGGGCGGGAAAAGATCAAATGGGCAGGAGGGGCAAGGATTATTCAAATGTTTTTGTCTCTCTTTGCTGCTGGAGGTGGTACTGGACAGCGTGCTCTGCAGTTTCCTTGGGACTCAGTTTCAAGAGGTTCTAGTGAAAGTGAAGGCCAATGTCATTTTATAAGAGACTTATACAAGAGGAAGACCAGATCAGATAATGAGGAAAGATGATATTTTATTTATTCTAACATTTACTCCTGTCTCACATCAAGGCCGTGATTTTAGGTACAGTAAAATTTCAAGATTTCAAGACTGTTTTGAGGATCTACCATAGACTGTATAAAACATGAACAAAGTCTCTGTGACATCACCCATGGATTTCTGAAGAGCGACTTTGAAGCTCAGATCGGTTGCTCAAGCCGTCAGTGCCTGACTCCGCCTAACTCCCGGCTAATCCAAAATTGGGCAAAAAGGTGGAGCGCGTTGGAGCTAGCAGACAACTAGCCAGCAGCTAGCTGCCAAATCACACATTTTCTATATTTAGGTGTTTTGTTGTGTTTTAACTATTTTCAAGATGTTTGTCCGTTTTTCTTGGGTCGATGTTATAACACACAGTACTCACTAAAGAAGAACTTTAAGAAATCCACATCAGCCACACGTGAAGAGGCATTTTGATTGTACTTATAATCTTGAAATAGAGGCTGATGAAGAAGAGATTATTTCCACCATCATTAATGCCATAGACTAAACCCACTGATGTATTTGCCACAGTCATAAACTACTACTGTATTTTGAATTAGTATCAGGATGTCATAAGGATGAATTGTCGAATGAATATGTGAGAAAATGTGAGAAACCAACATACTGGTACTTGCAGAACTCGGCAGGCTACTAAGGTGTGCACATCTGTAATATATAGAGCCATCAAAATGTGGAATAAGTTACCAATTTTCATTGTCAAAGCACCCAGTAAGGCCAGTTTTAAAAGACTACCCCCCAAAAACACTATGAATAACCTAAACATCGATGAACCTGGGTGATTGGTTTGTTTAATAATTGTGTGGATGTGTTGTGATGCTTTTCTGCTTGACAGTAGTTTGTTCTATGTGCACACATAGTGCTACTCTTTTATAAGCTTTGTAGGTCTTGTTTTAGATGTATGTATAATTTGTATGTTGCATGTTATGTTTGTTGTATTTTATGTATATTTTGCACATCTTGTTTGTTGTATTTTATGTATATTTTGTAAGTTATGATTGTTGTTTGTGGACACCAGGAAGAGTAGCTGCTTCATTAGAGGCATGTAAAAAAACAAATAAGCTTATATATGAATTCAAATCAGAAAGCTACGGTAATTATTTCTAGGCCGTTTAAACTAAATGTTATATTTTAAGTAAAGTCATTTTTTTAGGATTGTAATTAATTTTAGGGCCAGTGTTTGTTGTATAAGAGTGTCAGATTAACATAGCAAATGTGTCCGCTCTCCTTCAGTTAAAGTGTGTATGACAACAGTAGAAAGAAGGAAGATCTTCAGCTGAGCAGCTCAGTCTCAGATGTCAGCTTGAGCCAGCAGTGCCTCAGGGTGGCCACGACTTCACATTACTGCTGAAAGATGACCTAAAGGCCCCATGACCAGGCATAGACACCGCACACTCCATTAATGTACACACTAAATAAAAAGTAGGAAATGCAAAGCATGTGAGAAGAAAATGGAGATCATTTTTATTCAAAGCAGACAGAGATGATGACAGAGGTCTCAAGATTCTTTTTCTATACGTTTCCTCAACTTCCTTCATGATGGCTATCTGGATTTTATCCTGTCTCTATGTGTCTTTGAAAATATTTTGGTGACACCTTGTAACAACACATACATTGTATATTGTCTTACCAGCCCAGGTGATTGTTTCCACATTGGATTAGAAGGTGAATATAGATACAGAACTTAAAATCCAGATTAGCACATGCCGTGATATTTTGACGAAGAGCATGCATGCATGTGAAAGTCTCTTGAATGCGAAGGGAATAGAATGCATTGAGCAGTCCATAAACGCAATGACCATTTATTTAGGTCAGTGCCTTAGCTTGTTATGGCTGTGTTCAAAACCACTCCCTTGTTCACTCATTCACTACTCCCAATATAACCTAGGACACATAAGACACTAATAATGAGAAGAAAAATTAAGATTCGGACACTTACTCTTCATCATTTTGCTTCGTCACTCACACGCTGCACAACTGTAATATTCACATTACACATGGCGGACAGTAAATATAGTGCACTCTATAGTAAATAGGGAGTGATTTGGGACACAGCCCTGGGTTTAAATGAAGAAATAGATAAGAACCCTTCTATCTAAAGGACCTTAATGTTTATGAGATGACTGTACTGAAAAATGGGACTGCACGATCTGATTTTTCTAACCATCGGCATTATTTTGGTATTATTGTGATTTTTTCATTCTGGTGGAAAAAACAAAACAAAAAAGTCCATAACAACCAAGAGTGTGCAGTTGTTGTCCTTGCCAGTTTCCAGCCCTCTGCATCTGTAATATATTCACTGATTCAAATAGTTCTGATGTTGCACTGACAGTTGTTTACCAAGCTGGAGAAACAATCAGCCAATCAGAGCATTGTGGGTGGGATTAAAAATGAGGGCGCAATTAGTGATGGGAATTAAGGCTCTTTGAAAGGAGCCAGATTTTTATGGCTCCATTCCTTTCCAAGAGCCAGCTTTTTAGCTCCAAACGGTTCTTCATTTAGTACCACTTTTGTTGGTCACTGCCCAAGTCACATTCCTATTTGTTGCAAGAAATAAATATGCAAGATGCTTCACCTTCAATACATGGAAATATTCTGTCATATTGATAAAAAGTGATATGCTCACAGAACTGACTCGTTCGCAACAAACACATCACTTACGCCAACTTCCTTGGTAGCTACCTAGCAACAATTAATGAAAATGAAAGTGTGGCTGAGATGGACAAAGCTGTAGGTTGTTTTAAGTTGACTTACAGACATGTGCAGGGCTATTTCTTGCGCAGGTGCAGTGACTTCCTTGAGTCTTTGCCAATTCCTTGGCATTTGCCTGGATTTTTATACCTTCAGACAGTGCCTGGCTAGCTGTTTCTCACTGTTTCCATTCTTTATGCTTAGCTAACTGGCTGCACCTTTATATTTAGAGAAATGAGAGTAATATTCATCTTCTTATCTAACTCTTGCCAAGAAAACACGTCATATTATTCCTTTAAACCTGCAATAACTGATTTTAATGGCTACTTGGGGGCAGCGTAAACAATTCCGTTAGTTACAGACCAACATTATCATTCATTGCCACCTGATAAAGTCCAATATCACTCTCTTCAAGCTTTTGGTCTGAACCAACTCCTGAGGGTGACATCTGGCTCTTTAGCTGCTAAATGCTCCACTATGTTTGCCAGCTTGTTGCCGAATGTGTCCGTTTGCAAATTGATTCTGGGAAGATAGTGTATAGTGGGTTTTTAGAGCTGAGAACAGCTGCCTGCTGCAGCCGAAAATGATACTGAAAACGATGAGAGTGAACCAAAACAGTAAAGGTCTGAGCCAGACAGATAAACGATGAGCTGCAAAGCTTCGTAAAGCTGAGGAGAGCTGCAGATTCGGGTGAAAATTATTTGTAGGTTCATCACTACGAGCGACCCCTTTTACATTATCGAATTATTTTCACATTAAACATATTGATTATAGGCGCTTTAAGTTTACTGTTTACCTAGTAACTGCTACTGCAGCTTCCATGTCAATTAAAATTAAATTTATACATCACTTGCTACTGATTGCCTGCAAGACAAAACAAATGAACCCCCACTCCCAACAAGAAAATCAGCAACATGAACACAATGTCAGGTTAAATGAAAGTGAAACATGAATTTTTAATGTTTTAGAGAAATACTTGAAGCCAAGTTTTCAAGGGCTTTAAAAATAAAACCTAAGTGAAAACTGTCTTCTAATAGATGTTGATGGTGTGCAGACACAGATGACAAGACAAGGAAAACAAAACAGAGACTTGTTCAAAACAGTCTATCAAATCAAATTTATTGAATTTTAAAGGGGTGCTCTGAATTCACAAGTTGCAGCTACAGTACATAACTCCTCTTACATCAGTAATTTTTAAGCTATTTCGTAAAACAGTCCAGTCTCTTCTCAGATAGGAAATTTCCTCAAAAAAGGTCTTGCTACAAAAAAGGACAGATGCATCAAATCTGATATATATGTATGAAAAATTAGAATGCTATCAAAAATAATGTGGGGCAGGAAGTGTTAAAAGGTTGTGAAGGTGCTGCATTTAAGTCAGTTACACACCCATGGCGGGACAGTGAGTGATATGGACAGCTGGTCAAGATTGAAATCCAAATCTCCAAAACATACACAACCACCAAGATGGCAGGTGAAAGGTCTAAAACAACAGAAACACAGCAAACAATTTCATGACTACAATATATCTATTCCTTAAAGGGTTTCAACTTTAAATGATGCATATCCATTTAGAAAAACCGTATGGGATTTGCTTGATAATTTGAAAAATATAGATTAAATGCTACAAAATGTGAAATACTACAATGCACTAAATGTATAGCAATTTGTTTCAAATAGCTTTAACCAGTTAAAATATGAATGATATGATTTTTTTTTAAACAATGAGAATTTTCTTGATGATTGCTGTGAATGCCAAAAATGACAGTAATGAAACGGTAACTCTCCTTCAGGATATGATAATTAACGTGATAAATACAGCCACAACCTGTAAACACTACCTGCCAATGTAGCTCTTTCATACCGAGTTTTGTGGGTATCACAAATAGATTTTTCACAAGGCACTGGAGACCAAATTTGGTTCACTGTCCACAGATCAAAATCAGTCCCAGCAAATCCAAGCTCATCTAAAATCTGTATGTTTCAAAGCCATTTTTGTGCACTTCATCAGCCTAATGCCGCATTCACA